TCCAGGGCGTTCGCTAGCATTAGCCGAAGAGCTAACTAGCCACTCTCGGTGAGAGGCTCGGGAACGCGTCCCGCGAAGCTGTCAAGCCGTTCCGACGCAGCGATTCTGCGTCCTTAAATCCGCTAAACCTTCCGGTACTGAGTACTTTTGGGTAACGTTAGCGGCAGTTCTAATAAACGCTCCGGTGTTTAGAATCGTGCAATTGCTACGGGGATCAAAGCCGGTTGTCGGACGACGCATGCGCGGTGGTCCGCCATCTTAGGTACCCGACACGTAGCTCGACCGGCCATCTTGGACAGGTCAAATGACAATGATATTTTTGGCATTATTGAACAATTTTGCCCAAAATATTCATTCACAGGCAACCTTCCCTGTAACTAATTCTTTAATAAGTCTACAGGTAAGGTTGTTTCTAAATAAACATCTAATTAGAATACCAAACAAAGAGAAAGTTAGTAAATTAGGAAAACTGATTACTATCTTGGAAAATGGACTCAGAGGTAACGAGGCAAATATCATCTGTACTACAGGCGATGCAAAACACTTTCCTTCCAATGATGACTAACATGATGAACATGATCTGCGCTCTTCAGAAAGACGGCGAGGACGTCAAACAGTTTATGCGTGATTTTCAGGCGACACGGGCGGCAGCTCCGTGTTTGCCTGAGAAGCCGCAAAATGAGTCTGAAATGCTGCAGGCTGATGTTTTCACAGGTTCTGACTCACAGGAAAACAACAGCACCTCAAAGGAAAGCGACAACACCTCTCCGGTCGTTCCATCCGTGGCGATGTTAGGCGATGAACCCGCAGGTGACGACCGCAGTACCACTACTACCACTGCCGTAACTGAAAAAATTTTGCTTGCACCTCTGGTCGTGAGAAAGGGATCTAATAGGCCCGCAGTGGAGGTCACTGTAAATCAGAGACATCGCTGTGTCACATTATTAGACACAGGAGCGGACATCTCGCTCATCAGCGGAGCTCTTTACAGCAGCATGTGCGAACAAAGGGGGGAGGACATCTCACCCCCCACACTCATTTCAGGCCCAGAGGATTTTGACGATTTCTATGGCGCTCCATCGTCCGCGGCTGCGACGACTGAGGTCAACATCTCGATAGAAGGCATGTCCTTTAAACACCTCGTGTGCATCAACGAGGAGATGAGGATGCCCATGCTCATAGGGTTGGACTGTCTCCAACGCCTTGACGCTAGAATCAGCTGCGCGTCCGGACAACTGTTTGCACGTGTGAGGAAGCCAAAGCTGTACAAACCGTGGCCTCACACAGGCGGACGCCTTTCTGTGGCAAGTCTTTCGCGGGGGGATGTGATTTCGACCTCACCACCACTCTCGAAGCCACCGGGTAGACCCCCGGAACTTCTGTCCCAGATTGAGAAGGAAATAGACCAAGCAGATGCTCTCACCAACGAGGTCGAGCGAGACAAGCTGGCTAAGAAACTTTTGCCCAAATGGTCGGGTCCATACCTGATTACAGATAAGATCTCTCCGGTCGTGTATCAGATCAAGATCGCCGACAAGAACAAGGCGCCCGTCTACAAATGGGTACACAGGGACCATATCAAACTGCACAAGGGTCCCACAGATTTGGCCGATACCAACAACAACAATCCACCGACTTCAAAAGGGGGGTGATAAATACGTGTCGTTGGTTCCACAGATTTCTATCTCTGATAACACAAATTTGTTTGTTTGTGAGTGTGCATGGTTGTCTTCCTGTTATACGTCACGTGCAGACTTAAGGTGTGTTGAGACGGACGTGCTGTGGGCTCCTGGAGTCAGGTAAACGGCCAAGTAACAGTGAGTGGGTTAGGCCACATAGTACTGTTGTCCAAAACTTTGTTTTTTTTTATCTTTACTAATCACAATTCCTTAGGGGTACATTAACATGAACATGATTACTAACCACTGATTTACATTTTAGTACTGATTTACATTTCTGTTTTTTTATAGTACCTTTGACCAGTTGATTTTAACAGTGAATATTATGTTTGTGATTATCAATTCTTTGATTTATCCTAAGGGGCTATAACCAATTTTGCCCCTGTCCTGACAGCGTGTGTTTACAGTGAGGATTCACTGATACCAGTTAGGGTTTCATTTTTCTGCTTCTCGCATCATCCCTTTTTGCATCTAACACAGACAGGGCTGCATCCATTTCTTCACTTCATGGGTAATTACACATAAAACTAACACATAGTACAAAAGGCACTCATAGAGTTAGGTTTTTATTTTTTTTTTAATTTCTTTGATGACATGAAATGCACTTTTGTCGTGTCTACATTGAAAAGCCTACACTGTGCTCTCTCTCCTCTGCTGAGCTTGTGAGGATCCTGCTTCCTGGGGGTGGATCCGTGACTCGTCATCAGCATCGACTACTCCTGAGGGTGCTCCGGCTCGTTGGCCTTGGACGACTGTGGTTCCGGCATGGCTGCTGGGACACCTCATTCGTTGGGATTACTGTCAACTGCTCTTCCCTTTTTGTGGATTACGATAAGTACTCTTTCAAAGTTCGATTTTTATTTGGAATATTACCCTGCCTGCGGATACAACAATCGATTTTTAATTGGAATACTACCCTGTTCGTGGATACGTACGAGATTTGCTCCTGCTTTGCTTTATTGCCCGTGAGGATATAAAGTTGCTGTTGCTTCGTTTATGGCTTCCATGGGGAATAACTAATAACCTGCTGCCTTGTGTTCTTCCTGAGGAGTATGCGAGACAGTTCTCCGGCGTGGGGTTCGTACCTCACCACAGATGGCTGTTCCCTTGGGATCGCATCCTGTTCTGTTGTCAAGATTCTTCATAACTTGGGTTTGTTCAACGACCAAGTGGTCTCTTGAAGGACCACATTGACCTTGAAAAGGGGGGATATGTAAGGTTATGAAGTTCATTATTTTCAGCTCCACACAGCTGCCCCTGTACACAGTAACACCCGTGTAGGAAACGCCAAGGTTGGGTGTTCCTCAGACTGTTTACATTCCAGGAGAAGAGCCAGAAGGAGAAGAAGAACGCTTTTCAATAATCAAAGTACTTAATTTGTGATTAAAGCTATTTGAAACAGATGTTGATCAATAATAATCAAGTGAATGATCTGTGGAATAAAGTTGTCATGATTTATGTGTTTAATGAAAACAGGACTACTGCACAGACAGACTGACCCTCATCTCCATAGAAACGCATGACACATTGTTCCAACCAATCAGAGCTTTCGGCTGCCGCAGGAGAATCTGGCTTGTTGACTTAAAGTGTCCAATCCGCTTTACTAAAACTTAACAATTCAGAGATATAAAACAAGGCAACGCCATTTTAAGCTCAGTTCCATTTTGACTTCAGTTCTATTCACCGTCATCCCAAAGAAAAGCACAGCCTGGCCAGATGTGTTTTCTTCTTTAAACTAAGAACTGTGAAGTTGGAGATTTTAGTCGTTTAACAACCAGACGACATCCTTTCAAATAAGAGCACCTGCTGACGCTGCCGATTGGTACCGGGGTCGACCCTTCAGACGGGCTTTGACGTGCTGCGACCGCTGCTTCGAACAACTCCAGTACACATCCGAGGTTCTTGGACCTGGCATTTCCTGATCTACCTGGGAGGCCCCCCACTGGGTACGTACACGGCAAAATAGCAGCTCATGTCATCACTTTATAAGCCTCGTGATATCTAGTCATAACAAAGACTACCAGATTCAATGACGTCAGCCTAAGGAGTCTGAACCAACCACACACCCACACACACACGCACCAACACAACATCCAAATCCATTTTCATCCATCACAGAGTTAGTCCTGGTAGATTGTTAAGAATTTATAATTAAGAAATTAAAGATTCTCAAACGATCCCAACTCTCTCTTTTCTTGTCTTAAAGTCAATACAGAGTGTTTAATTAAACTCCCTGATGATAAAAACAGCCCATCTTCTGATTATAACAAGTGATCTACTTACAGTGTATTAAAATACAACTCTAGATAGTTACATCACTCTATTTCGTTACACCAACTTACACATATCTTTTAATTTTTGTACTATCAAATTTATTGACATGAGAAAAATTATCTCGATAAGTCAGAAATTTTGGTTTTTCAAGCGATATTAAATGGCCTGTATATGATATAGCGCCTTCTAGAGTTCTTGAAACCCCCCAAGGCGCTTTACAACACAATCAGTCATCCACCCATTCACACACACATTCACACACTGGTGGGGATGAGCTACAATGTAGCCACAGCTGCCCTGGGGCGCACTGACAGAGGCGAGGCTGCCGAGCACTGGCGCCACCAGTCCTTCCGACCACCACCAGCAGGCAACGTGGGTTAAGTGTCTTGCCCAAGGATACAACGACAGCGACAGACTGAGCGGGGCTCGAACCTGCAACCTTCCGATTACGGGGCAAGCACTTAACTCCTGTGCCACCATATATCAATATTCAAAAGCCGTGTATCGGAAATATCGATATGGCAATATATTTTTATATTTATTCCAGTAATATTATATTGATATTGAAAAGCTGTGTATCAAAAATATCAATATCGCTATTTTCCTTGTAATTCTTTTACTATAGTGATGTATTGAAATACAGAGGAATCCACTAGTGAATACAATGCATGTTAATATAGCAAGTATTGCATTTTTACCAAAAGCAAATTCACACGTGGAAAGTATCAATGTGAATAAATTGTATGGCGGTAGTTCTTTGGTACGTTCACTGTGTAAAAGCAGCTCACGGGCCTAGAAAGGTTGGAGACCCCTGCTTTAAAGGTTTCTTTACATCTTTACATATTTACATCTCAAGTTTTAGGAAATGGTTTGACGACAGAGAAGCCAAACAAGTGTCTTTTTTTGTTTGTTTGTTTGTTTGACAGCTGGAATTTTCTCTGACAAACATTGGCCCAAAGTCTCAGCAGTTAGTTTGATGATTTGATACCTGTCATCCAGATGGGAACATTTATGCAGTGCGGTAAAGAAACAAAACAGAAAACAAACCTTCCCACTGAGTGTCCGGTACTCATCCTCCACAGGCTGTAAGATGTAACTGTCAAAGTAAGACTCAGAGAAGGTGCTGGTGCTCAAACTTCCACTGCAAGGAACCAGAATCTGCAGATTTAAACCAAACAAGACAAAGAAAATGTTACTTTAAATTAATTCACTTAACAACACAGCTCTTGACCAAGCAATCCAGATAAAATCCAACGATGATCAACAGGAACAAAGGATCTACCATATCTTTTTCTGGACACACAGTCAAACAGATGGGCTAAAAAACAAAAATAATTATTAAATGATTATCCATCCTATCATATGGAGTTTTTTACTCAGCACATCTCAACCATGACTCTCGTGGAATGGCGCAACCAGCAGTGGAAAGAGCATGCAAACGTAATTTATTGATTCAAGCACCATTGTTTGCACTTTTACCCCGGTTGCTGTGGCACCTCGTTCATTCTGAGTAAAACTCTAAAACATATAACCGGCATTTAACTGTTATGATCTTACTCATTATTACGAGTTATTAAACACATTATTTCAAGAAAATTTTTCATCAAAATGAGATCACTATCATGGAACAAGAAAGTTGCACGTATTAACGTGAAAGTTTCTCGTTAAATTAGATTTATATCGCGTTGTAATGACAAAGTTTCACATACTAACGAGAAAATTTAACATTTTAATGAGAACGTTTCTCTTTAAAATTAGATTAATATCGTGTTATAATGACAAAGTTTCACGTAATAAAGAGAAAGTTTCACGTTTTAATGAGGAAGTTTCTCAATTAAAAGAGATGTAAATCATGTTTTAACGAGAAAGTTTCACGTATTATCGAGAAAGTTTCTCAATAAAATGAGATTTATTTTGCGCTGTGATGAGAAAGTTTAATGTTTTAACAAGAAAGTTTCTGAGTAAAACAAGATTTATAGCACGTATTAACGAGAAAGTTTCTCAATAAAACAGGATTTATTTTGCATTGTAACGAGAAAGTGTCACGTATAAACAAGAAAGTTTCTGAATAAAAAGAGATTTATTTAGCACTGTGATAAGAAAGTTTAATGTTTTAACGAGAAAGTTTCTCATTGAAACGATATTTTCTATTACTTTAAAACGAGAAACTTTCTCATTAGTACAAGATACTGATCCTTTTGTTCCCCGCAGTGACGGTAATACACTGCCATAATAAAATAATCCACCCTCAGAGTTGTCATGACGATAAACTTGACCTATTAAACCTAAAATGTTTTTTTGAACCTGGCTGTAAACAGTATTTATTTAAGTTGTTGTCTTTAACATTGGAGTGAATAAGAACTTGCTTCATTCTGGAACATGCCCCTAGTGGATGAGGGTGGAACTGCAATTTTTGTCACTTCCTCGTTGGCTTCACTTTTGGCAGGCAGAATCTCCCCTTTGGTCTTAACTCAGCTCTACATGGTTTAGCTGTTTTTCCATTAGAATAACTCTAAAACATATAACCGGTATTTAACCGTTATGATCTTACTCATTATTGCGAGTTATTAAATGCATTATTTCAAGAAACTCTCATCAAAATAAGATTTCTATCAGGAAACAAGGAAGTTTCACGTATTAACGAGCAAGTTTCATGTTTTAATGAGGAAGTTTCTCAGTAAAACAAGATTTATATCACATTTTAACGAGAAAGTTTCTCATTAAAATTAGATTAATATCGCGTTGTAATGACAAAGTTTCACGTATTAACGAGAAAGTTTCATGTTTTAACGAGAAAGTTTCTCAATTAAACGAGATTTATTTCACGTATAAACGAGAAAGTTTCTCAAAAAAACAAGATAAATTTTGAGTCATTATTTAATCACTTCCGCGTTGGCTTCACTTCTGGCACGCAGAAACTCCCCTTTGGTCTCAACTCAGCTCTACATGGTTTGGGTGGTTTTTCCATTACAACTGAAAAATGACTATCGTGGTTAGGATCGTCTTAGCAGGGTGGAAACCTGCAAGTGTGAGGTGATCAGTACACAATGTGAGGTCATCTGTATGTGACACAAAAATATAGCGCAATGTAAAAATGGCAAACACGGTAGTGGTGTTAAATAACGCGGGCCCATTGCTAATGGAATTGGCTTGAAACCGCACCGAGACGGGTCAAGACACGAGGAGGAGGTGCTAGTGCAGGAGTGTCAAACTCATTCTCGTTCAGGGGCCACATTGAGGGAAATCTAGTCCCAAGTGGGCCGGACCGGTAAATTAAAAACAACTTCAGATTGTTTTCTTTGTTTTAATACAATCAATATAAAACAAGGCTGGAGCCTGAGGACAGTGTATCCAAAATAGTACAACACCTGAAGTGTACTTGAAAATTTGAAAAAAAAACAAAAAATCAATAAATTAAAAAAACATTCCTTAGTGATTCAAAGAGCTTACAGATCACATGGCTAGATCAGTTTCATGCAGCACTTAAAATATATTTGACTCATTTTACTTTACATCTTTTAGCTTTCACCAGCACATCAATATCAGAAGTCACATCCTGAGTGGCGGCCAACTTCAGGATGTGATTCAAGTTTTTGTGTGAGCCTTGAGCGCAGCTTTGTTTTATTTATACTCATTACAGAGAAAACTTGCTCACAATGATAAGTTTATTTTCACTCTACATTGTTAAGTATGAAAATAAAGTTTACACAACCATCTCGCGGGCCGCATCCGGCCCGCAAGCGGGTTAAATCCGGCCCGCGGGCCGCATATTTGACACCCCTGTGCTAGTGGATATGGACTAGGGCTGGGCGACATGGCCTAAAATCTACATCACGATATATTGAGGATTTCACCTCGATAACAATAAGTGGACGATAACTACAGGTATGCGCAGAAATAAAATTTGTCCACTAGATGGGGCTGTCACATGAATTACGTTGAGTCACATTTTTACGTGACTCAAGGTGGAACAGCTTCTTAAATAAATGCTGTCAATCTACACTTATCTTCTCATTTTTTTTATTATCAAATTTATTGACATGGGGAAAATTATCTCGATAAGAGTCAGAAATTTCGATAACGGTACATTTTTGATTTATTGCCCAGCCCTAATATGGACCACATGAGATAAAATAATACCAACACTGTATAATGATATATAACTTCATGAATGATCAATAAATTAATTTAAAAACAGTAATGACTTACAATGCCATTGAGTTCTGCCACGCGGTTGAAAAGGTCCGGTCTCAGTTTCTCCAAGGCCAAGTAGAACGGATTCCTCAGGATGTTCTCATCATACACAGCCATCAGGAGCCGAAGGTCTGGATTCTGGGGAGCAAAAGATTCAGACTGCTAACCTGCATGACAGAAACCAAACTCCAATGCCAGGGAGAACAGTAAGGCCAGCGATGTTTAAAAAAGCCAGAACACCCAAGCACAAATCAGGAATGTCTAGCACAATTTAGTGAAAACCTTTAAAGTCTTGAGTTTCAGAATTGTTTCTGCTGGTCTGAGGCAGAAGGGTTTTCCACTGCAGCACTACACAGAGCTAACCTCTTACAGAGGATTCTCACACGAACTTCGTTGCGTCCCTACTTTAAACACCCCCACAATCCTGTGCTGCCTCATTATATGCCCTAACAAATATCACATGGGCGGGGGGAGCAATGGAGGCTTAGGGGTTACGACTACACCCAGTAACTGGTGGGTTGGTGGTTCGAACCCGGGTTCTGTCAGTGGCATGTCTAGGCCCTTTAAAATGCAGTGGCCCAGGTGGAGGCACTTATTTATACACAGGTGACCCCTTTGGTCTCAACTCAGCTCTACCCACATCACCCCGCTTCTCCTCCAGCTTCACTGGCTGCCAGTCAACTTCAGGGTTCATTTCAAGATCCTGGTTCTGGTCTATAGGGCCTTACATGGACAAGCACCATCTTACATTGGTGATCTTCTTAGTCCCTACACCCCCAGCAGGTCCCTGAGGTCCAGTGATCAAAGTCTACTGGTTGTGCAGCACCAGGCTAAAGACCAAAGGTGACAGATCATTTGCTGCTGTGGCCCCCAGACTCTGGAACTCTCTCCCCCTGAGCCTGAGATCAGTGGACTCAGTGGTCTCCTTTAAAAAGCAGCTGAAGACTCACTTGTTCAAGCTGGCTTTGGTGTGACCTTCGTCACCACCCTTTTCTTATTCTGCTCTTACTACCTTTCCGGGGACCTACCGATTTCCCTCTTGCCTATTCATTTTCTCTCTCCCTTTCCTTACGTTTTTTAATCACATTTTTTATTTTTTGCCATTTCAAACGTATTATTTTTATTTTAATTCATCTTTTTTGTATTTAGAATATTTTGTTTTTGTGAAGCACCTCGTGAATTTTATCTTCAGAGGAGCTATTTAAAAGACCGTTTTCTTTCTTTCTTTGGGAGGGGGGGGGGTCACTCCTCACAAAATCTTTATTTTCATTTCAGTTCGTTTGTGAGCTACACGTTGCGTTGTGATCAATTGTATCTTCTCCTTCTTCTTCTAGCTGTTTTGTGATGGTTAGTAAGCCACTTCTTGGTGCATTACTGCCACCAACTGTAGTGGAGTGGGAATGAGACCGAGTATCTAAATCAGGGCTATTCAATTCTGGGCCTCGAGGGCCGGTTTCCAGCACATTTTAGTTATTTCTCTAGTCCAACACACTAGATTCAGTAATTGAAACAGCTTTTGCAAAAGCAGAAGAATGTCCATCCCCTCAGGCCTAATGCATGGCATAATAGGGATGAAATGTCACTGGTTTTAATGGTTATCATGGTAACATTTACAACAGTATTAGTATTTGATAACGAGTTTACCCTTAAAACTGTGTTCAAAGCTACAGTGAGCTTTAGATGTAGTGTCTTAGTCATGAGACAGAGCACTGGAGCCTTCAGAAAGACTAGATCTCCACTGAGACTGGATTTTAAACTCCATCTTTGCTCAGGGATCTTTATACTATGCCAAACTTTAGACTTTGTTATATACATTTTATTATGGTTTTAGTGGCTCTGTGTAACGATACTTAAATATCCATCCTTTCATCAACAAAACGCCAATATATTTCATCTCCCCCACATGAAAAACTAGTCTGTACTGTAATTCTATATTAGCCTGGCCTGCCAGACTCCTTCTCTGTTTAATTCTGCACAGAGAAAGGGTCTGGTAACTCCCCTATTCAATTAACCCCACCCCCTCAGAATTCTGACCGAGCCAATCAGCGCTGAGTAGCGTATGTCACACACCATAACGCCGAGTTTCTCATAAACATGGTGACTGAAGCAGAGTTCGCTGCGGCTCTTTCCTCTATTCTAAACGACTTGAACACGTCACAAAAATAAAAGATGTTTGCCCCGCTGCCAGACTCCATTTTTGACTACAGCTAAAAAAAAACTACAGCGTTGCGCGGTACAGTCGGCATTTCCGTCTTTTTTCTGATTGGTTATTTTTGAGCTGCCTAGTCCCGCCCCTCATGTGCCTCTCTGCCTTTGAGTTACCAGACTCTCTCTCTTAAACAGAGGATGAGTCTGGCAGGCCAGGCTAATTCTTTACCATCATGAAGTCCACAGAATGCAGTTGAAGGTCTTCAGCTAATCCAAAATGCTGCAGCTAGAGTTCTGGACAATATTGAAGAGAGATGACATCTCTTAGCTTCTCTACGTTGGTTCCCTGTTAAACAAACACACTGATAGGCAATAGGAGTCCTGTTATTTGTTTCAGACCACACCCTACTCCCAACCCAAGTGACGAAGCATGTTACATGCGAGGTAAAGCATCTCCAGGTAAACAAGAAAAGTCCAGTTGTTCCAACTACACCTTCTAGATTACTCTGTAGTTATGCTGCTATAGGCTTAGACTGCTGGAGGACACACTGATCACTTATCCAAACTCTGCTATGATCTTCTACCACAACTTTCCAAGTGCATTACTTCCTTTTGTTTTAACTGTTAACTTTATGTTTTTGCTCATTTTTTTTCTCCAGAGGTGCTACACCATGTCTGGCGTTCTTTTGGGCCGATACCTTAGTGAAGGGGGCCATCGGCTGGCATACTACTGCCAACCGCTAAAAAGTCTCCCTCTTCTACTACTAACATTTTACGTTGTTTACCATTGAAAGTACTACTACTAGTTCATCAGTTTATTTTTATGTGTCTACTCTGTCTTCACAATCCCCAGTAAGTCATGGTGGATGGGTGCTCATACTGACAAGGATCTGCTGGAAGGTTATTTCCTGTTAGAGGGAGTTTTCCTCTCCACTGTCTCTACATGCTTTTTTAGTATGAGGATTGCTGTAAAGACACTGACACTAGTCAGTGACTGGATGCAATCTGCTTGGTTTCACAGCCTTCAGTATCTGGGTGAATCTCATCCACCCCTGACACCCTGCTGCTTTTTAATGCCCTTCAGGACCTTTGCCAGTGTAGTGGACTCTCCTCCTCTAGTGAATAATGGACAGTTGTGGAAAATCTAAAGCAGTGCATATTGCAATGACTGTGACCACAAGGGGGTGCTAACACTACATGAATGTTGTAACATTTTGAGTTGATGGAGCTTCATAAAGACTGCTGGACACAAACTGCATCATCTCAGTCTCTCCTCATAAGCTACACGAGAACATAGGAAACTCAAAGCCTCTATAGCGCCACATAGAACATAAGGTCTACGAAAGTCCACTGAAAGCAAGAGCACCAGCCCCCATCCTGTACACTTTCTACAAAGGCACCATCGAGAGCATCCTGTCATGCGGCATCACTGTGTGGTTCGGAGCCTGCAACGTTTCCTGCCTTAAAACCCTCCAAAGTATAGTGAGAGCAGCAGAGAAGATCATTGGGGTCTCTCTCCCCTCCCTACCAGACATTTACAGCACCCGCCTCACAAAAAAGGCCCTTTGCATTGCGGCTGATCCCACTCACCCAATGCAAAGCCTCTTCGAGCTGCTGCCGTCAGGGAGGAGACTGCGGAGTCTCAAGGCCAGGACCAACAGACTGAAGGACAGCTTTATCCATCACGCAGTTAGGAAGCTAAACTCCCTCCCCCCGGCTCTCCCCCTCTCCTCTCTTTTCCCCCACAGTCTCTCTGAACTTTGGTTACTCTTTTTATACTAAATGATTATTTTCTATCTAGCGAGAGTTTGAGAGTAACGTAATTTTATTTCTCTGTATGACCTGTACATGTGGCAGAATTGACAATAAAACTGACTTTGACTTTGAATGTCTTCCAACATTGACGAATATCTGCAGCCACATGCGCTGAGGTCCATCTGGTCACATGATACCCGTCAACTGCTTTAGGGGTCCACTGGAGCAGCCAAGCCCCAAAGGTCATCTACCTTAGCAGGACAGCTTCCATCTCTACTGATGTCCACTGTCAGGTCCTCCGGTTGACACTGCCACATCATTACATTCATTATGCCTGTAATGTCTCAGTCACATGAGGAACGGGTAAATTTACATGTGAATGCTTAAAATTACCTGCAGTGGGTTAATATTTCTTGTTAATGCTGCATGTTTGCGCATATATTAGACTGTTTATGAGGGTGAGATCACAGACTGGTGCATGTAAATGTATCCGTGTAATGGTTAAAAGTGGGAGAACATACTAAAGTTAGGTAGCTCTGACTGTTAAACTGATGCTATCATGATGACTTACTTAATAAAGCACATATAAGATATTTTATGAAGTTAAAATCTAAAAATACCTAAAAATCTATTCTACAATGAAGTCACAACGTTTTGATCCTAAACACTGAACGGTCTAAAAACACCAGGAGCCAGAATGTGAAACAAACAGCACAACAATTATGAAAAATGATTAGCTCTTTGTGTTTTTACCAGTTCTCGTGCTGATGTGGGAACATCAACCGGACAGCTCTAGGTTAGTTTTATTTCCTGTGTGAGAGTGCCAACCAGGAGTTCCTGTTGCACCTGTCACGGGTATAGGTTAATATGTATTCATATGAATACAGTGCAGGCCAAAAGTTTGGACACACCTTCTCGTTTCATGCGTTTTCTTTATTTTCATGACCATGACCATTTACAAAGGGGCCAACGAGTGCTAAACACCTGTGGGAACTCCTTCAAGACTGTTGGAAAACCATTTCAGGTGACTACCTCTTGAAGCTCATCGAGAGAATGCCAAGAGTGTAAAGCAGTAATCAGAGCAAAGGGTGGCTATTTGAAGAAAGTAGCATCTAAAACATGTTTTCAGTTATTTCACCTTTTTTTGGTAAGTACATAACTCCACGTTTGTTCTTTCATAGTTGTGATGCCTTCAGTGAGAATCTACCAACGGTCATGATAATAAAGAAAACACAATGAATGAGAAGGTGAGTCCAAACTTTTGGCCTGTTCTGTATATTCTACATGTTATAGCTCAACCTACAGACCACACATTCTGCTGTTTTAAAGGACTCACTGATCAAAATACATGAATTAGAAGTAGGGGTGTGTTATTCATGAGTTTGTATTGTGGTTTAGATTAACAGGGGGCCATCAGGTGACTTCAGGAAGATGCTTAATGTTTAGAAAACAGCGGGACAATTGATCAACAAAGCTTTCACAGGTTCACCTGTGTAATTTCACTGGATGCTGGACCATCTGCTCCAGAAACCCGGCCGCAAACAAAGAAAACCCTTTGTTTTTGTATTTTTATTTTTTTTTACTAACGCGTCAGAGTTGAAACTGCTGAGCTCCCTCTTGAACCCAGCCCTTTATTTAGCAGCACGATCATCGACAACCTGGCAGATGTTAACATTACTTTACAGGAATAAGACTCCAGGAGCGTTAGCTCCATATGCTAGCGTTTAAACTATTAATCCAAATGGGATGCTCACAGAAATACCAGTGCTGCTTTCTTAACCTGGCTGGATGTGTCTGATAAATTCCTCTGATTATTTAGGGTTTGGCATGATCCTGACCCCCCTCCAAGAAAAACAAACAAATCGCTAAAAATAACAAGCTAAGCAGCTCCTACCAGCTCAGGCGCTGCAGTCATCAGGTGACTGGTCCGAAAGACAACACGGAAGAGAGGCTGCCAGAAACCTTCATGTGTTCGGTTTTGTTGCCAGCCCAACGACCCCGGAACAAAGCAGAAATAAAGGTTTCATTTCAGTTGTGAGAAAATCAAGTTATCCGCAGTGCCCTCTACTGGTCATAGTGGGCCTCCGTTTACCGTCACCCAAAGAGCTTTACGGCTTTTGTTATTAAAAACTACAACACCCAGACAGCGCTTCAGTCTGGCCCAACTACTTCTGGGGGTCACTGTCAAAGACTTCCGGTACATTTTATCTTGCACACAACCGTTTTTTCATTCTACAATTTGGAGGCGACCCTTAAGTTTATTAAAGAAGGTGGTAAATGAATATTCATTCATGTGTAACTAGGAATGTTAGACATGTTGACGGTCTTTAAGACCCAGCCTTACAGCTTTAGCGTTCAGCGGGATGAAGTCAGCTGTTCTGAACTCTGCTCTTCCTCATGGCCACATCATCTGCGCTGAGAGGTGGAGGAACTCTGCCCTTATTCAAGACCTGAAAGGTAAATCCACGGCACGTATCAAATAGAATCACAGAGCAGATTTTATCGGTCCATAGCCTTCCGTTCATCTTTTGGCAGTAGGGGGCCCATGAAGTAGATGGGCGTGACTGAGGCGCCCTTGAAGACATTACTAACATGGATAAAAAAATAAATAAAAAAAACATCATCAGTTGTCTGTCAGAGTTTGGTTTTAGGAGTTATACACTTAAATCGAGCTGTTTAAAAAAATGTCCCTTACTGTGACATCGCAATAAGCGAAATTCTCGCGCTGCTCTGGGTGGCTGCATGTTGGAGTAGCTCTGTTAACTACATGTAAGTTTTGCCTTTTTTGGACATTTTTTCTTCTAGCGTCTTAAGAAAAAACTGCATTTTTTTTTGGACCTTTTGCTTTTCTGTTTCTGGTGCTGTGAAGCTTAGAGGATTTTTTACTGCTATTGTTTCACTTTTTGAGCATTTGTTATTAGGGATGCACCGATGGATCGGCATTTGATCGTAATCGGCCGATAGTGCCCCTATCGGTTTTGATCGAAGTTTTCAAAATAGATCAAAGCAGACCGATCAGGTAGGGTTGTCACGGTACCCAGTGTAGCGGTAAACCCCGGTAAAAAAAAGTTGACAATAATGATAACCGTCTTGTTTTTTTAAAAAAAACTATATTATCTTGGTGGATTACCGTGGCTGCCGTGTAGGCGCGGTGACCCTTACCAGCCACCGTATCATCTGCTGAAGTTTCAGGACCAGCGGCACATGCGCGCTTTGCTGTTTACAACCAAAACTTTCTTGAAGCTAAAGCTGAAATAATGGCCAAGGGAGGAGGCGGCAGCGCTCAGGAGGACATTTTTTATCCCTCAAAGAAGACAAAGTCGGAAGTACGGGCATATTTTAGATATTTGAAGAATGCCGAGGGAGTTGATAGAAGACGGCTATCCTGTTTGCAGCACGTGCAGAAAAAGTGTCTGTGAAAGGCAGCAACGCTTCAAATCTCATGACACATCTGCGCGACCATCACCCACAACTCTACAGTCAACGCAAGGCAAGTTAACGTTAGCATTTTAGCTAAAATGCATGATCCGAGGATTTGGGTTGAGGGAGAAAGCAACGAGTCGCTATATAAAGCAGCCGCAGCGCCGCTACCTGCATATAAACCGTGTCGCAGACACCCCCATGTTGAAATGACGCTATGCATTATGGGGCTCCCAGGGGCAGATAAGAGTTGGTCTCTCTCCGAGAATAATTTTGAATTTAACAATGATTACTGCCTGATGACATTTTCCCACATCTGCAAAGCTCATTGGAACACAAACCGAGGATGATATTTTCCTGATATAGTAAGGGTAAAAAGTATCTGATTAGAAGGCTACTTGAGTACTGAGTATCATCTGAACTAATATTTTTAAAATGATGACATCAAACAGACATAAAATAAGAAGTTATGGGCAAATATTGGTATTTTAAAGACTAAAGGGAAAAAATGTAAACAAATAAACAACATAATTACAAAATAACACATTTTAGGCAAAATTTAGACACAAACTGAGGACAATATTTCCTGACATACAGGGTTTATTTAATTGTGTGAAAATGTAGCACGTTTAAAAAACATATACCGTAGGGCTGGGCGATATGGACCAAAACTTATATCTCGATATCTTTAAGCTGAATTCCGATATACAATATATATCTCGATATTTTTCCTCTTGTAAACTGTTGAGAAGTTAACTCACTTCAAGCTCTTGAGAAATTATATACATAAATCAGTAGGTTAAATGCATAAAAATGTATTGATTCTTGTCAAACTTTAACTGTAGTGCCTATTCTCTACCAGTCTGAGCTTTAGTAACACAGGTACAGCTGTCTGCTAACACACACACACACACACACACACACACACACACAGTTGAGAGCCAGAGGTGTATCAAATGTCCCACAGTCACTTTTTTATTAAATATTTATAATTAATGTAAAATTATTTAAATTTCATCTAGAGGTGGCCCATATTGTATAGGTCTTGTCCAGAGAAAAAAAATCCATCATGTTAAGCTAAATGTACAATGATGTAATTGCATCTACTGAAGATCACATGGGTCATGCACCATGGAGTTATTAGAAAAACTAGTTATTAACTAGTTGTTAGTTATTAGTTAGCAGTGTTGGCTCATCAGCGATTATACCGTAATGATTCAGAGTCTCTGGTTGCTCTTTTATGAGTGTTATTTTCGGGCTACTGTCTCCATAACCCACACTTTACAAACTCAACTTTTTCAACAGAATCACTCGTAACGGTGTATTTACTAGCATAGCAAACCAGAGAGGAAAAAAACGGAACTGGAACAACATTTCTCACCCGTAGAGTTCACCTTCAAAATAAAACGGTAACCCTATAGTTTATTATTAAAACCCTTACAATATGTTTCAGGTCATTTGGCCACTCCGGCTTTCCGTAGCCGTTTCCTCATTACACAGGGGAGGGAGGGGTTTGGCTCGTCTCTCCGCACAAGCAGGATGGAAAACAGAACTCCGTTGGCATTGAACGTCCCCAAATAATTAAAAACCAGGACACCAAATGCAAAGTTTAGAGCAGCACATTTACCCAGAGGCTCTCAGACTGAGCAAACTTGTGAGAATACACGTAATAGCCGCTTAGAGACTGAGCAACATGTCGCTAGCATAGCGGCTAATCGCTTGCATAGCAGTTTGGCCACTTATATAGATATAAAGATATAAAGTCATCTTATATCTTGTTTAAAAATTATACCGATATTTAAAGAATATCGATATATCGCCCAGCCCTAATATACCGCAATAATACCGAAAACCGTGGTGATTTTGGTCACCATAACCGTGAGGTTAAATTTTCACACCGTGACAACCTTAATACAGACCATTTTAGATTAGGTTGCATTTCCTTTATTCCCAGATTATGTAGTTTGTAGCACTCATTATAATGTTGTAGAAAATTTCTGGCCAATCCACGTGATCAGTATCGGTGATCAGCATTCTTTGATATCGGTATCGGTGATCGGCAACAAAAAACCTGATCTGTGCATCCTTATTTGTTATTATGCGTAACCATGGCCACAAGCTGGTTTACAATCTGGAGCAGCTGATTAACATTGGAAAGGCTGAAATAATACCTCAACTGAAGCCACAAATCCCAAATGAGCTAAAACGAAAGAAGCGTGGATGCAGAGCAGGAGCAAAACGGAAATTCAAACCATCTCTTCCATCGATTATAATGGGCAATGTGAGATCACTGGCCAACAAGATGGATGAACTCCAAGCCCTTTCAAGGACTCAGCCAGAGTATCGGCAGTGCAGTGTTATGTGTTTCACGGAGACGTGGCTGCAGGACCATATCCCCGATTCCAGCGTCTCACTGTCAGGATTCCTGACTGTACGAGCAGACAGAGATCTGAAGAGGAGCGGGACAAGAAAAGGAGGTGGAGTGGCAGTGCTTGTCAACAACAGATGGTGCCATCCATGTCATGTTTCAGTGAAATGTCGTCTCTGCAGCCCAGATGTTGAACTCTTGGCAGTAAGTTGTCACCCATATTATTTGCCAACTGTTATATGGGCCATTCCCATCTGTACCGGGTCGGCCCGGGCCGGGTAGCCCCAGTTGGCCCCAGCCTGGCCTGGTTGATTCCACACATCCTTGTCTTAAGCCCATGTGGACTGATTCTACCCACCAATCAGAGGCTTGCTTTAATGGAAGGTGTGAATTTGCTGTCAGCAGTGGGCGTGTTGGCCCTGGTCGGCCTGAAGCAGACCCCCTCGAGAAGAGGGCTGAGAATGAGCCTTGGTTGGCCCAGAAAAATACCAGGCCACCCAGATATGTAAACAACCTACGCTACCCGGCCCGGGCCGACCCGGTATAGATGGGAATGGCCCATTATTCCACCTTCAGCCCTTGCTGAAAATGCATGTGGTGCCATCAGTTCCGTTGTCGCTAAGCTACAAACCCAGCACACCAATGCATTTGTGGCTATATCTGGTGATTTTAATCATTCCTCGCTCTCTGCTACACTTCCAACATTTCAACAGTTTGTCAGCTGCTCCACCAGAGAAAACAAGACATTGGATTTGTGTTATGCAAATGTAAAGAATGCATACATGTCCAAAACAAGACCTCCTCTGGGACAATCAGATCACAATCTTGTTTTCTCTGCTCAGAATACAAACCACTTGTTCAGAGGCAACCTGTGACAAGAAGAACTGTGAGAAAATGGTCACAGGACGCTGAAGAAGCCCTGCAGAGTTGTTTTGAGACCACAGATTGGATGACTCTCTGCCAAGGATATGAAGTGGACATCCATGCCATGACTGGCTGTGTCACTGACTATATAAACTTCTGTGTGGACAATATCGTACCCACCAGAACAGTGAGATGCTTAGCTAATAACAAACCCTGGATCACCAGTGAACTGAAGAATCTGCTAAATGAGAAAAAAGAGCCTTCAATGAGGGAGACAGGGAATTATTGAGGAGTATACAGAAGCAACTGAAGATCAAGATCAGAGACAGCAAGGAGGCATACAGGAAGAAGCTGGAGAACAAACTACAGAGGAACAATATCAGAGATGTCTGGTCAGGGATGAAGAAGATCACAGGCTTCAAGCAGAGGAATGATTGCACAGATGGCAGCCTGGACACAGCCAATGAACTGAACAAGTTCTTCAATAGGTTCAGCTCAAGAACAAACCCAGCATTCTCCTCGCCTGTCCCCAGCCAATCAGACATCCCATCCTCCTCTGATCCAACATTTTCCTGTCACACGCCAGCTCTTTTGTCCTCTAACGCAGTCATGGACTCTTCTGGTTCTATAAATCTGTCTTCAACCAGGTCAGGAGATGCTGCTGCCCCATTTATATCCCCCTCACACCTATCTATCTATAGAAGTCAGGTGAAGAGGCAGCTGGAGAGACTGAACAGGAACAAGGCTGCAGGTCCAGATGGTGTCAGCCCCAGAGTACTGAAGGCCTGTGCAGAGCAGCTCTGTGGGATTCTGCAGCACCTCTTCAACCTCAGCCTGGCCCAAGAGAAGGTTCCAGTCCTGTGGAAGACATCCTGCCTTGTTCTAGTTCCAAAGAAAACTCACCCATCAGTCAATGATGACTACAGACCAGTTGCCCTGACATCCCACATCATGAAGGTCCTGGAGAGACTCCTGTTGGTCCACCTGAATAAGCAAACTAGAACATATCAGGACCCGCTGCAGTTTGCTTATCGCCATGTAACTGGACTTGAAGATGCCATCATCCAGCTGCTTCAACCATCCCACTGTCATCTGGACAAAGCAGGCAGCACTGTCAGGGTCATATTCTTTGATTTCTCCAGTGCATTTAACACAATTCAGCCTGATGTACTTTGCCAGAAACTGCAGAAGACACAGGTGGGGGCCTCAACTATCGCCTGGATTAAAGACTACCTGACAAACAGACCACAGTTTGTGAGGCTGAAGAACTGCACATCAAACCAGGTGATCAGTAACATTGGAGCACCACAGGGGACTGTACTCTCACCATTCCTTTTCACCCTGTACACCTCAGACTTCCAGTACAAATCAGGGACCTGTCATCTACAGAAATACTCAGATGACTCTGCAGTTGTCGGGTGTATCAGAGATGGACAGGAAGCTGAGTACAGAGAGCTGGTGGAGCGCTTTGTGGCATGTTGTGGAAACAATCATCTGACCTTGAACATGAACAAAACAAAGGAGATGATTTTAGACTTCAGAAGAAACAGGGTGGAGTCAAACACTGTTTCCATCATGGGAGAATAAGTGGAGGTGGTTGAGGAATACAAATACCTTGGAGTTCACCTGGACAACAGACTGGACTGGAGAAAGAATAGTGAAGCCGTTTACTAGAAGGGACACAGCAGACTGCACTTCTTGAGGACGCTTAGGTCCTTCAATGTCTGTAGCAAGATGCTGCAGATCTTCTACAAGTCTGTTGTTGAGAGTGTAATCTCTTCAGCCATCGTCTGTTGGGGTAGTAGCATCAGAAGCAGGGACCTGAAAAGGCTCAACAGCCTAATAAAAAAGGCTGGTTCTGTTCTGGGGATGACTGTGGAACCGCTGGAGGAGATAATGCAAAGAAGGATTCTCCAGAGAATCAAGAGAATTATGGACAACCCTGAGCATTCTCTTCACAAGACTGTCTGACAACAGAAGTGTCTTCAGCCAGAGGCTTCTTCAGTTTCGCTGCAACACTGACCGCTACTGGAGATCCTTCCTGCCAACAGCCATTGTAATATACAATAACTCTTTGATGACTTGATTATTATTATTATTCTGAGCTACTACAGCAATCAATTTCCCTCTGGGATTAATAAAGTATTTTTGAATTGAATTGAATTGAATTGAATTAGCATAGAACCCACCACCACCACCTGTCATGTCCCCACCCACCAAAAGTTTTGAGGATGTGACATGTTTATCCAGCATGACGCAGAGTGAGGATACCCTCAACTGGCCATGGGAGTGCCTTAAGTCTAGTCTATACTTCTCTGCCTGCGGAGGTGCTAGGTTACGCTACACCATTGTGTAGTGTATCAGTAAGGGCCAGCTGAGGTTGTCCAGTAATCTGAAGGTTGCAGGTTCGATACCGGCTCCGGAATTCTGCTGTTGTGGCTAGGGATGCACCGATGGATCGGCATTTGATCCCAATCGGCCGATAGCGCCCCTATCGGTTTTGATCGGGGTTTTCAAAATAGATCCAAGCAGACCGATCAGGTAGGGTTGTCACGGTAACCGGTGTAGCGGTAAACCCCGGTAAAAAAAGTTGACAATAATAATAACCGTCTTGTTTTTTAAAAAAAATTATATTATCTCAGTGGGTTTACCGTGGCTGCGGTGTAGGCGCGGTGACCCTTACCAGCCACCGTATCATCTGCTGAAGTTGCCGGCGGCACATGCGCGCTTTGTTGTTTACAACCAAAACTTTCTTGAAGCTAAAGCTGAAATAATGGCCAAAGGAGGAGGCGGCAGCGCTCAGGAGGACATTTTTTTATCCCTCAAAGAAGACAAAGTCGGAAGTACGGGCATATTTTAGATATTTGAAGAATGCCGAGGGAATTGATAGAAGACGGCTATCCTGTTTGCAGCACGAGCAGAAAAAGTGTCTGTGAAAGGCAGCAACGCTTCAAATCTCAAGACACATCTGCATGACCATCACCCACAACTCTACAGTCAACGCAAGGCAAGCTAACGTTAGCGTTTTAGCTAAAATGCGTGATCCGAGGATTTGGGTTGAGGGAGAAAGCAACGAGTCGCTATATAAAGCAGCCGCAGCGTCGCTACCTGCATATAACCGTGTCGCGGACACCCCCATGTTGAAATGACGCTATGCATTACGGGGCTCCCAGGGGCAGATAAGAGCTGGTCTCTCTCCGAGAATAATTATGAATTTAACAATGATTACTGCCTGATGACATTTTCCCACATCTGCAAAGCTCACTGGAAGGACACAAACCGAGGACAATATTTTCCTGATATAGGGTTTATTACTCAAGTAAGGGTAAAAAAGTATCTGATTAGAAGGCTACTTGAGTACTGAGTATCATCTGATCTAATATTTTTAAAATGATGACATCAAACAGACATAAAATAAGAAGTGATGGGCAAATATTGATATTTTAAAGACTAAAGGGAAAAAAATGTAAACAAATAAACAACATAATTACAAAATAACACATTTTAGGCTAAATTTGGACACAAACTGAGGACAATATTTCCTGACATACAGGGTTTATTTAATTGTGTGAAAATGTAGCACGTTTAAAAAAATACCGCGATAATACCGAACACCGTGATAATTTTGGTCACAATAACCGTGGGGTTAAATTTTCACACCGTGATAACCCTAATACAGACCATTTTAGATTAGGTTACATTTCCTTTATTCCCAGATTATGTAGTTTGTACCACTCATTATAATGTTGTAGAAAATTTCTGGCCAATCCACGTGATCGGTATTGGTGATCAGTATCGGTGATCAGCATTCTTTGATATCGGTATCGGTGATCGGCAGCAAAAAACCTGATCGGTGCATCACTAGTTGTGGCCTCACCTCCGTCATTGCACCCCAGGGCAGCTGTGGTTACATCGTAGCTCATCCCCACCAGTGTGTGAGTGTGTGTGTGAATGGATGAATGATACACTGTAGTGTAAAGTGCTTAGGAGTCCTCTGGCTCTGAAAGGCATTTATCATTTACCATTGTACGTGGGCTCAAAGGCTTTCAAACTAGCACGCAAGAACGAATGGAGTAGAGCCCAATTTTATCCACCCAAGCGACGCCATGTGATTGGTCAGGATGCTGCTTCTTTTAATCTCGTTAACAGCACCGCCTTCCCCTTCAAAACAATAAAACGAGAGCTGAAAATATCTAGTGGTAGACACAGAGCAGATTAAAGAACGTCTCGCAGAAAAAAATCTGTTGATTTAAACGTTAATAGACCTGTGACTGAAGGAGTGCAAAGATATGAGGCAGACTTTTTGTTTGTGTCAGGAAATTACGGTAACAGGGTTTGGAGGTGGTGACTGCATGAAAAGGTGGTAGGCAACCCCGCCAGAAAATGTCTACACCTCCTGCTGTCCTGGCGGAGAACCGCTTTGCAACACTGACACTAATGGAGACGTCTTTGTCAATACATTTGTGTGTGTGTGTGTGTGTGTGAGTGTGAGTGTGAGTGTGAGTGTGAGTGTGAGTGTGAGTGTGAGAGTGAGAGTGAGAGTGAGAGAGAGAGAGAGAGAGAGAGAGAGAGAGAGAGAGAGAATCTAGGCTTAATGGTTGCTGAAACCTTCACACCTTCACTCTCTGGTTAACTTTAAATAAATTCTGTAGATCAGGTAGATTTCTGGTCACAAAGACAGATTTTACCCCGTTATGATGATTATGGCATACAGCTTGTACAACTCCCATTTCAAAATTGCACAATTAGCTTATTGTTAAAAGTAGGGATGCAACGATGCCACTTTTTTCCAAACCGATACGATACCGATCCTTGGATCTGAGTACTCGGCGATATCGTTTACCGATACAGATACTTCTACCACACAAAAAAAATGCAATGAATTGGAATACAGGTTTTATTTTCTTCTGTTTTCAATAGGAAAAGACTGTGAGATAGATAAAAAGTAATATAAGTGATCACAAAAGTAAAATATTAGGTGAGCAGAAATGACAAGTTACAGTGAAGTCACTTTCAAGCAAATGCATTGGTATCATTTACTGGTAGCTGTTAACTTTTACCGATACTGGTATCAGTATCTGTATCGGCACCGATACCGATACCATTATCGTATCGGTGCATCCCTAGTTAAAAGGTTCAATATTCTAGGCTTAAAGTGTCAAACTCTGATTGGCTCATTACACCTGCAAAGGGTTCCTGAGCCTTTAGGTGGCCTCGCAGTCTGAGTTTAATTTCTACAATAAATGGACTTTTGTATGATTTTTCAAGGTATTTTTAATAATAATAATAATAATAATAATAGTGCATTGAACTTATATAGCGCTTTTCTAGACACCCAAAGACGCTTTTCACACACTCTCACATTCACACACTGCTAGTGATGGTAAGCTACTTGTAGCCATAGCCGCCCTGGGGAGGTCTGACAGAGGCGAGGCTGCCATTTGGCGCCGTCGGCCCCTCTGACCACCACTAACACAGGCAAGTTGGGTGAAGTGTCTTGCCCAAGGACACAACAGCAGGATACCCCTGGCGGGAGCTGGAATCAACCCCATGACCCTCCGATCATGAGGCAACCCGCTCTACCACCTGTGTTTAATTAAACTGGCGTGAAAAAGATTCAGACTGTTTGGGACGACCTTTGTGACCTCATGTTGTCTCGCAGGTGGAGGAGTGAACATTCTGTTTGAAAATGAGCTGGGTCTGGCAGATTTTCACCTTCCCAGTAAGACCAGCATCCTGTATGTGTCTGAAGGCAACATCGTAGCAGGAACCGAGTATAGAAGGAAGTTGGTTCGCTACAGAAATGTGAGTTAAGCCTCTAATGGTAGAGCTGGGTGAAAGACCTCTTAACTTGTGTTTTCTGGTGTTTTTAAGGCCAGCAGCCTCCAGGACGTGGTTCTGGTGGAGAGGACGAGGCTGAGTGAGCAGTACTTCCCTGCTGTGCAGAGGTTTGTGGTTTTGGACCTGGGTCTGGCGCTGGTCCCAGTTAGTGGGCAAACGGAGGCCTCACAGCTTATCATTCAAATGGTAAGTGCTTTGTGTACTTCTGGACCTGCTGTGGTCTCAGAATATTTTAACACCTGCAGTCTTTGGTCAGTTTGCTTTTAACCCTGGCCTGTTTTCCCCTTTGGTGTGATTCATTCATGCAGACACTTGCACAGTAATCACACACAAGGGTGCTAACTAAAACAACTGAATGGAGACCACTTCAGATCGTCTCAGTACTTTGCCACACGAACTCCAGCTGGTCTGTTTATACTGAATGTGCACAGGCTCCAGCTGACACAACTGCCAGTTGTACGGTGCAGGATTGAACCAAAAGCCCCTTTCACAGGGGCACTGTCACCTTCCACTCACCATATGTGTGCTGAGGAGCAAAAGAGAACTTCAAGATGGAGGTGGGACTGCATCAAGGATCGCTTTAAGCTCCTTCTTGTTTGCTTTGGTGATGGACAGGCTGACAGAAGATGTTGGACAGGAGTCTTCTTGGACTACGTTTGCTAATTGTAGAGGTGGAGGGCACTGCCCTCTCTGACATGGGGGGGTTAGAGTAAAAAAGCATATAAATTTCTGTGTTCAGGTGGTAGATGTGGAATGACCTTCCAAGCACTACTAGAACAGGGTCTTCCTGCCTGTCGCAGCAAGTACGTGTGTGTTAGTGCAACGAGCGCACCATCCGAGAGGGTTTTCAGTGTTGCTGGAAATGTTGCCACCCCTCTCAGATCCTCTCTCAAAGCGTATATGGTTAACATGCTGGTTTTCCTTGTGGGTAACAAGGACGTGACCGAGCTATAAATCACCGTCATTCGTGTGTGAAAGTGAAATGATAGTGTGCCCGCCCCCCGGCGCGCGCGCGCCCGGTACATGTAATTTTTTATGCTTGGTTTTAAACAACTAAACAAAATGGGGACTTGTTTCTTATTTGTTAGATGCTGCAGCCAAATTTGCTTTTAAAAGTTTAACCTCCTGAATTTTGTTGTTTTGTTGTTACTGCCCTTTGATTTGCATTCAGTAAAGTGTTATTAAAGAAGGCACGGCAATTTTTAACCTTTTTTAAATGTGTAAACATTATGTTTAGATAGTACTGCAATAAAAAAAGGGCTGCAATAATGTCGCAAACCGCAATATTAAGCCACCCTGAATCACCGCAGGGGGAATTCCTCAACCGCGACAGCCCTAGTGCAGGGTATCCGCGGGTCCTTAAAAAGTCTTAAATTTGCTTTTCCAAATTTAAGGCCTTAAAAATCCTTAAAAATGACAAATAATCCTTAAATACTGTTTCCAAAGGTCTTAAATTACAAAAGACCCAACAAACAAGATTCTTTTATTTCTGTAAAATTTTCGTGAATTTCTAGTTGGTCTTCAGCATTTTGTGTGTGTGATGTTGGTGTAAGCAGAACCGTACACATTGGTTGGGAAAGGGGGCTGTTTTTAGATGAGCACATTAGCTGGTTAAGCTAGTGGGAGCTTGCGCCATGGGGAAGTGCAAGTTTAATGGTAACTGGATGGCTGATCCCACGTTCGCAACGTGGTTAGCACTGGTTCCAGGCAATAGCTGGAAATTATAGTGTAGCGTTATGGATTTATGCTCTTTTATGAAAGAGAAACCATGCTACGTATTAATTCGGAATATTAATTTTAATAAATCAATAACCAATTTTTATATTGTTCAGAAGACTCAAAGGTTGTTTTCATCCATAAACTGCCGATAATATCTGAGTGTCTGTGTTTCAGTTCAATGAGGAAACAAGTTTGAAGGATTAACAGTTTTAATTCTTCAAATTAAACTAATGATTTTGAAAATTGACAAACAGGAAATAACAATCACATTGGCAACTTTGTGGGACAATCTTTTAACAGTTTATATGCTGTTCTTGCTCAAATAGACCTTCTGGTGAATTTATGAAGATTGAGAATGTTGTGACATGAATGCGTGTGTGAGTCTGATTTTGCTTCAGGAAGTAACAGGCAGTGGCGGTTCTACATGGAATTACTCCCTGGGCGAGGCCCCCTTTGAGCGCCCCCCCAACCGCCCCCACCCCCACCACCCCACCTGCACGAACACACGCATGTTTTCTACAAACAGGGATGTTTTATTAGAACGACTATTGAACATTCATTTTTCTAAGTTGCACATATTTACATTAATTACTATGAAGTTGTCAGAATGTAAGGCAATATACATTATACACTGTATCAAAATATATAGAATCAAATATACAAAAACAACTAAACTAACTAAATATTAAGAATATATGAACATAATATATAATAAATATTCTAAATAGCAAAAATATTTCACACATAACAAACTAAAGATAATCACTACAGCATTGCACTTAGAATAGAAAGCACAAACTAAAATTAAAACCTAACTTTGATGCAACATCATCAATAATGTCATCATATGAAATCTGCTCCCCTACTGAGTGATTGATACTAATCAGAGCCAGGTTAGTGAGCCGCCCCTGAAACATAGGTGACCTCAGGTATGACTTGATCAAGTTTTGAAAAGCTCCTCTCAGCTTGAGCCACAGTGACTGGCAGAGCAGTCCAAAAGTTGGAGTAGATCTCCAATAGATCTTTATCATGATCCATAATATTTTAGAATTGCCCCTGAAATTGTAATTTAAACTGACATAAAAAAAAACTGTAGACTACCAAAAATGCCAACTTTTACAGAACAAATCATGTAAAAAATAATCAGTGCAGCCATCTGCAATAAATAAACAGGATAGTTAGTGGTGACTGGGGAGTTTTCTTCTGCTTGTAGAGTTGTTTTATTTATTATGTGAACTTGATCAACATGTGTTTGTTGTTGTTCAGGCAGGCCACAGGCTGCAGCGAGCATTTAACAAATCCTAGTTTGAATCAGTAAAAAACGATTCAAGGAATTTATTCGAACCATTTGAATATTCGTTTCAATATTTCAGCCCTATTAGCTCTGTTAGCAACTAGTTGACCGAATTTAACCGTTAAAATCCCAGTTAACTGGTTCAAAAAATTGAAAACATTCATCATGAGAGCGTACATACCTTTATTTTTCTCCTCTTTTTTTTTCTTTTTTATTCCTGAATCGGGCACCTGGTGGTTTTAGCCTTTTTATGTTCATCTCTTCTGTTTGGCTCCTGACTCGATAAGTTTCCTTCAGTAAGGACTAAACAATTTGACCTTGATGGGGGTGTGACCACAAAATCGTTTTGTTTTTCCTTTTTTTATTCGGCCATTTCACACTATTCAGAGAAACCTGAAAGAATGATAGGCCTGTGTTTATGATATTATGAATGAAATGTGGAAGAACATCAAGATGTGATCAACTTTAGCCATGTTGATACAGTTGATTCAGCCCCTACCTGCTCATTTCATTTGGACCCACCCAGAGGTGAATTCCCCCGCCGCACCCCTCCCCTTCCTCTTCTTCATACACACACGGTGCACGGAGCGTCTGCAGCTGCAGGGGGCGCCAACTTGCAGTTTCCAATCCAGACACTGTCATATGACAGATAATAGAAAACCTCGGTGCGGCGCAGATTTCCTTTTTTTTTTTTTTACTCAGCGCTTGTGCGCCCCTTTTGTGTCATGAAAAAATGCCGCCCCGGGCAACTGCCCTGTCTGCCCGTGCCTAAAACCGCTACTGGTAACAGGTGTCTGAGTGAAGTGATGGTTTGGATAAACTTAGGTCTTATCAGAGAACTGCATCAAACGCTAAAACCGTGCTCTGTCTCACCGAACTCTTGTGGACCCTCTTTCGGATCCGGGCCGTGGAGGATGTTGTGGTTCATCCAGATGACACCGGCGGCTGACAGGAGACGTAAGTGTCGAACGGAACCGGTCCAGAGTTGCCCTCGGTACACGTGGATGGTAGAGCGTTTTATCGATGCGCTTTCTTAAGTTAATTCACTCAGAAATCAAAAGACTCGGTAATGAGTCTTCGTTAGAAGTCGCGATTCAGCTATTCTGCCTGGCTTGGCAGAAACAGCGTGAAAGGGGGGAAGAACGAGCCAACAGGCTCTGCCCCCCCTTTGGTTTTCAGGTCTGTTCTTTCCCGTTGTCCAACACGAACTCTCATAAAACTGAAAACTTACCAAAAACCTCTCTTCTCAAAGCAAAACATGTGCGTCATCAAATGTGTCTGGAGTTTACTGTGGGCAGATGTGTGTGGGTGTGTGTGAATGTTTGTGTGCTTGAGTGTGAAGGTCAGTACCACACATTCAACATTATCTACTTAAGTGTGGATTCATTAATCCATTATAATTACCCCAAAGCATACTAGTCATTCATTTGATTAAACACATTTATAATGAGCAAAATGATAATGGTTATTTTAACATTAAAATCACGAAAAAGAAGTTTAAACTTTATGTTTTGACTTGGTCTGGGTACAACTCATGTAAACACATCTTCTGGTAGACTGCAGGTGGCAGATGTTATGGTTTCCTCCCAGACTCGCTGACGTGCAGGTCTTAATCTGTGGGTGAAAGTTCTCAGCGACCCAGCTATGACCCAGCTGCGTCCAACACCACCATTGTGACAGAAAACCCATATTTCCTCACGTTACAATAGCTTAAATTAAATTTTAAAAATAGCTTAAATTTGGTCAAAGTGGCCTTAAAAAAGGTCTTAAAAAGTCTTAAATTTGGCTCCCTTACCCTGAGTGTGGTTTTTGGTCAGCAGAAGACTGAAGAGTGGTGTCAAATATGAAACTGATAAAGTTTCCAACTCAACAATCACTGAGGTAAATGTTAAAGCTCTAGCTTAACGTTTAAAAAACTATTTAGTGTTACTTTAATACAGATCAAAATCAATTTCTGTAAAATAGCTGCGGGAATCATGATTTTCTCAGACCATATTGCTACCACCAAACGAATCGTTGCAACCCTAGCTAGAAGGTGCTGGAACTCCTTTCCCCCTTCTCCTTCTCTCACTTCCTCATTCACACACACTCTCACAGTTAGACAGAGCCGAAATCATACCTGCTGTTGCTGTAAAATGTGTATTCTCATTATAATGTCCTAAATACAATGTCTAATTTAATTCCCATGTCATGTTAGTACCGCCTCCTGGTGGAACTGAGTTTTGTGTCTCTTTGGGCTGATGATCAATTGGGGCACACAGGCTGTTGGAGACTGAAAACTCAAACTGGAAAACCAACTAATGTCAAAATAAATTATGGACTGCAGTTCCTCTTGAATGTTTGGTAGAAAGGCATGCGCTACAGGCTTGTGTGTTTATTTGAGAAATATTCTAATCTAATTTATTTGTTAATTTCACAGTTGGCTTTATTTGGGAGATAGCAGATTTAGAGAAGGGTAATAAAAGATTAGTGTGGAATTGAAGTCAATTTCCAGCCGTTAATTTTAATGGACCATGAAGGGAAATCTTTTAGCACCTTAACCTCACCAACCTGCTGTCACTGAGAGATGTCGACTAAAAAAAAGAGGGATGAAGATTAGTCACAGCAAGACGGAGTCCATGTGTGTAGATGAGGAACACCAGTGGAACGACGATGTTAGAAGAGGATTGGCTGTGGTGCCCCCCCCCCCCCCCCCCCCCCCCCGACAGGAAAAGCCCAAAGAAGACCCACCTCAGACCAGTTTGACCAGTGGGCTGAACCATCTGAATGTTTGTGGTGTTGTACGTTGGTCAGTTGGAGGTTTTTCAGTGTGAAAAGAAACAGAACAACAAATGAACACATTTCTGACTCAACTCGACAGCAAATGAAAAATCTGACAAAAAGAAACATTTCTTATTAAATCACGAACAAGGTAGCCTAGCTACATCCTGTCTGTGTTATTAGCCTGAGCTAAATGCTTCTTGTTTGGCCTTCCTTTCTCCAGGTTCATGGACAGACGAGAGAGAACCCCTTCAGACCAAGAAGTTCCTGTCGGCTGCTCGACCCGTTGGTCCTGGCTCTGGTCCAGCAGGTCCCTGGGGTCGGCCGGGTAAAAGCCGTAACTCTGCTACAGAACTTCTCCAGCATACAGCAGCTCTGCAGCGCTGCTCCAGCTGAGCTGGAGCTGATTGTGGGTCGGGCCAGCGCTCTGCAGATCCACAGCTTCTTCCACAAGTAAACCACTACTGGTTCAGCACCAGAACCCTGGACCCAGTCCGACTCACAGGGGCGCGCTTTACTCCCAGGACTGGATGTCATTTTTAAATGTTTTATGTTTTCAGACCGTTAGAACTCGGGTTCCTGATCATCTGAGTTTGGTTCCTGAACTCAGACTGAAAGTGTTCATGTAAAATAAAATGTTGACGTTAAATCTGTGTGATGATGTGGAATCAGAGCAGGACCAGACTGTGTTTACACCAGGTTCTTAAAATCCATGACTGAAGTGATGAAAGGTCAAAGGGCAAACAGACCATTAAATCAGTGGTTCCCAAATCGGGGATTGCGACTCCCCAAGGGGCTCCCCACAGTTTCATCTTTGCCGAGGTTGTGAGGTTAATTAGATTTTGTTTGTAAAAATGACATTTATAAAATCTGAACTACACATGCAGACCTGGAGGGCCGGTATCCAGCACGTTTTAGTTTTATCTGTTTCAACACACCTGATTTCAATCAGCAGCTGATTAACAGGCGTTGCCAGGAGGCACAGAGTGGCATGGCCAAGTGTGGGGAATTTTCATCTTGGGAGGGGGGGAGTGGGAGGAGACTACCAATGATGTGAAATTGTACCAGCTCCAGCCAGTCACACATTTATAATGCAGTAGCCACAGTTCAACCCACAGGGGGCAGCACTAAGACATTTTAGACCTAGATTCTAGATTGAATCAAGTTTACACAAACATGTCAAAAAATGCACAGAAACAGAAAGATTACATTTGTAAAGACCCAGTTATACAGTTAATTAGCAAAAAAAGTTATTTTGGGGTTTATTTACTCTTTAAATGATCATAATGGTTCATATACAGTTTGACTCAAGTCTTTAGGTTTGAGCCATGAGGATCTCTTCCCTCCCAGCAACCAGGTTTGTAAGTCCATTAAACTAGCCTAGGTCAGGAGTTCTGGACGGAATCAGAAGAATGAAACAGTCTGGATCAGCAGTTCTCCAGACTTTCTGAAGTTTGGACATTGGCTGTTTTTTCACCAGGTTTCTCTGGTTCATTCAAGAAGAACAAGGCTTCAAACTCAAGGAACAAAACCAGTAATGATGGACCTCTGGGCTGATTCCTACCACCAGCATGTCATTGAAACGTGGTCTGGTCCAGTTCGTCATTGAATCTAGAAGATGGACTACCCGAGAACAACGTCAGAACATTATATCAGACACCAACAAGTCCCAGTCCGTTCTAGTTCAGCTGCTTCCAGGTCATCTCCTGGACTCAGTCTCATCTTCCTGGGGGTTCTGCTGTGGTGGACTTCAGGCTCGGTCGGTGCACCCTGAACGCCTCACCATGGGTTCGGGTATTTAACATTCTGCCCCGGACCGCCGGCGCTTGTTGCGCATGCGCAGCCCATTCAGTCTGCATGAATACGGAGCGGAGAGGACAGCTCTGGGACTGGACGGACCGGACATGGATGGACAGAACGGCAGCGGGATCATGTGTTCAGGGACGCAGGACAGAAAGCAGAACGCACACTCGGACCGGGTGACCCTGAAGAAGGAGATCGGTCTGTTGAGCGCGTGCACCATCATCATAGGTGAGACCACTGCATGGGTTTCTGGTTCGGGTTTGTGGGCTGGTTCAGAACTGGGTGCCAAGTAAAATAAGACCAGGTTCAGTTTGTGTAGAAGGTCAGCTGACCCGTCAGATGAACCTAAAAGTAACAGGGAAATGGTGGGTAGGTGGGGTTATATGGGTTACAGGTAGGAATCAAACTACCAACCTCACTGACTCTTGAGCAGTGCAGTGCCTCTTCACCCTGTCAGGCTTAAACATTTTTTTTCACAACCATCCGGAACTGATAATCCCTGCAAGTTCTAACTAGCCTACATCAAACTATAGAGGGATTTGACCTCTGACCTTTAACCCAAATACACTTATAAGGTAAGTACCAAGGAGGACATGGTTTAACACCCCTCATCCCGCTCTGCAGCCACGTCATCATTTCATTGTGTTTATTTCCCAATTCTAATTTTTGCTTCTATTTTTTATTTTTTTTCTACACAAAGTACAAATGGCTTATTTATGTTTATTTTACATCGTTTTCCACAAACATCACTATCCCTGAGGTCCAAAACCTTTCTCTGGTTCTTGCACACCCTGATTCTGGCCACTTCTGATTTGTTTCTAAGAGCTACAATAAACAGATTAGATTAGAATTTTTCAGATGAATTTAAAAATCATAATTCTAGAAGCATGAACGTCCACGTGGAAAATCCACTTTTGCTAGAGTGAGTTAGAACTTTATAAACTAACAAAGTACCAAAGTAACAGTTTTGTTTACTCTCTATGTGCTCTCTGATTGGTGGCAGCCCATTTTGGTGTGACTTGTTGCAATTCTCTTCATATTTTGGTCCTCAGGGAACATCATTGGCTCTGGGATCTTCATTTCTCCTAAAGGGGTCCTGGAGCACTCGGGCTCTGTGGGCCTGGCCTTGGTGGTGTGGGTTCTGGGAGGCTGCGTTGCTGTACTGGGCTCACTGTGCTATGCTGAACTGGGTGTCACAATTCCTAAATCTGGAGGAGATTACTCATATGTGACAGAGATATTTGGTGGTCTGACTGGGTGAGTTATGCCTCTTCTCATCTTGATCCTTGAAAAAAATAAAAAAAACACAAAGTGGCAAATGTCAGATAAAAGCAAAACAAAAACAAGGAGCAATAAAAAAGAACTAAAGAAAAAGTATTTGGATTAAATAATCAAAGAAAATATGGTGTGTATACGTTTATGGACGTTAGTGGGAAAAAACATCTAAAATGAAAGCGACAAAAACTGGAAAAATGTGGATCTAATCTCTTTGTTTTAGTTAGAGAAATAATCAGTGGCATATTTAAAAGGTATGCTGTGGTTGTACTGGTATTACTAGCAATTTTTACTGATTATCATGAGTATTATTACTGATAATCTCTTTTAATGAATTTATGTGTCCACTGATCAGAGACAGTTTTGATTTATCTGACAGTCTCCCCTCCAGGTTTCTCCTTTTGTGGAGTGCTGTCCTCATCATGTATCCAACCACACTGGCTGTCATCGCCCTCACCTTCTCCAGCTACGTCCTGCAGCCTGTCTTTCCAAACTGTGCTCCCCCTTACATGGCTACTCGGCTTTTGTCTGCCACTTGCCTCTGTGAGTTTCTTCTTCAAACACAGCTGATTATGTCATTTAGATTTAAAATGTATTTATTTAAAGGATAACCCCTTGAGATTCAACATCTCGTTTTCAAGGGGGTCCTTAAAATCAACAGTACAGACAAACTTCAGGTTACAGTATACAACACAACACGTAAGGGTCATTCACTCAAACATTCATACTGCTCTCTTTACCTATATTCCAAGTACCATCCCTGGGGATGTATTGATGCAGAAAAAAAATGTAACAGTTATAAAGAGAAAAATCAAAAACAGAGACATGTGTTCTGTAAATAATCATATATTGAACCCTTAAAAGAATTAAAAGAGCTGATAGATCTGATTGCATTTGGTAAGATGGAGCTTTAATCAGTCAATCAATCAATCAAAGCTTTATTTATAAAGCGCCTTCCGCAACCCTGTCAGGAAGCCCAAAGCGCTGAACATGGTTCAGTTGAAGGTAAATATATTGAATAAATCAAAAATAAAAGCAATTTAAATTACAGATTACAAATTACAAAAAAGGTGAAACATTCTAGTAGAAGACAAATGTGTAAAACAAGGGAAAAAGTGAACCAATGAAAACTGTGAAATAAATTCAACATAAAAGAGGGCCAAAATCAAACATGTTCAGGAGACGCCAAGTGGAGGAGGTGGGTTTTTAGGCGACTCTTAAAGACTGGCAGAGATGGGGACCGCCTAACTGAGGGTGGCAACTGGTTCCAGAGTGACGGTGCTAGGACTGAGAAAGCCCGGTCCCCGCGAGTACGACACCTAGAACGAGGGACAGCGAGCAGGTCTTGGTCAGAGGAGCGCATGATGGGGAATGTCTGTTCAGGAGTGTGGCTAGATTTAAATTGAAATGCCCGGCAACTGACTTCTTTATTAATTTTGGGAACACAATAAACTAAATGTTCCGTATGCCTTAAGCTAATGGAAGAACTAAATGGGATTAAGTTGTGTTTCAAATAATAAGCATAAAAATAAACTGTAGCCAATGAAAATGCCTTCTTGAGTTTAACAATAGCCAGTTTAAAGATTCGTTTGACAATGATGGATTTTGTATGGACACCTCAAAATAAACCAAGTGGTGCTCGCTGCAGAACCACAAAGGCGGAGCTGCACCAGAGTCAGCCCCGCCCATTCTATCAGAGTCAGTCCAGTTCCTTCCAGTTGTCAGACTTGATAGCATTCTGGAACCAAAGAGGGTGTTGTAGCTAAAAAATGCAAGATTGAGGACGGAGTTGAGAAGTTAATTGAACAGTTTTTGTAAAGGTTCCATATAATTAAAAATCTAACTTTTGGAACTTTTTACCATGTTATATTGTCATTTCCTCATAAGAAATACGCCAAAGCCATTTTTGGCCTCATTCATGCATTTTCCTCCCATCTCAGCTTCGATTTGGTCTCCTCCCCCGAAGCAGGTCTGGTCTTGGTTCTCACATCTGGATATTCAGTGAATTTTCTGACAAATTGTTTCTGATATGACTTCTACTGAGACACCGCCAATAAACCATACATCCCATCTACAAAGACACACTGGATGGCGCAATTACATGTAACGCCACTTGCTTGTTATCAGATGTAGTGGTGAAGTGGTTATGGAGCCAGATTAACATGCAGTTTTGCGCAGGTTCGCCTCCCAGTAACGGCAGTATAAAGGTAGTTTATAACCCTTTTTTTTCTTTTCTAGCTACACTTGCCAGTACTATGTTTACAACAATTTATTGGTATACCGTTTACAATATAATGACTAATGTGTTTATTTTTTTTATTTATTCGTTTATTTAGCCATTGTGAGTCTATTTTTGAGCAGAGTTTCAACTAAAATGCTTAGGAACGACCAAATTCAAAGAACTTTTAGAGACATAAATATTTTGCAGAAAATAAACATTACAAGTAAAATATAAACAAATTAAATGTTTCAGCTGGCTAAATAGATTGCTGCCGACCCCACCGAGAGTAGAACCAGCATCAGCAGAGGGGAAAGCCACTGGACTACCAGAGCCCACACATCAATATGCCTTAAATGCATAGGACGCTTGTGTTGGAGCGGCTGTGGGCAGATATTTGCTAAAAGAAACCTTTTCATTTCGGGATATATTCAGGCTTTGTCATGTAGCAAGTTATATTTATCTTGTTTAATTGAAGCATAGAACATAGCATTAACAATTGTAAACTAGTAACAGCCGTAATTCATGTGGGTCAGGTTAGTTTGCGATAAAGCTGAAAAACAAAAACAGAAGAAGTCAGTGGGCTAGGCTGAGTTTGCGTGAATGGGCGGGGCTGACTCTGGTGCAGCTCCACCTTTGTAGTTCTGCAGCGAGCACCCTCTCAAATAAATCTGCAAAGACAGTTATAAACAACATTAAGGGTGAAGATTTGTGTTAGGAGTGTCCTGATAGAGAATACAAGCCTAGTCGAGAATTGCTAATACTAACTGAATAATAATTCTTTGTCTGAACTGAAAAGTAAAACAATTAATAGAGGAGTGTAGTGATTTAAGTCGATATGATATTTTCTTGACCACTAAGTCAATATGTGATCTAAATGACAATTGAGAATCTAAAAGAAGACCTAAATATTTAAACGCATTTACAGTTAACACTGGTGTGCCATCTGTAAATTTAAACACGTGGTCAGTTGTTATAGAAATTTGTTTAGTACTAAACAACATATAAGACTTTCTTTTGTTTAAAAGAAGTTTATTATATGTAAACCAATTTTGAACCTTATCAAAGTCGGACTGCAATGAGCGCTGAGTATGAGAAGTATCGGGACTAAATGGCGTATACAAGTGCTGGTGACGCTGGATTCTGCATCCTTGGATTCTGTTTTCAAGGTAGATGGTGTTTTACATCATTCCAGAAGGAAATCCTGAAGGAGTGAAGTTTGGCTAATCATTGCTCAGTTGCATACTTTGTGGACCCTGATTTTAAATTTGTTCGTTCGAATGTGAAGTGTTCATTATAAAATATATTATTTTAATAATAATTAATATGTGCATTTGTGAACATCTTTTCTGAATACAAAGCAAAACATAATAAATCTAAGTGTGTAATCCAGCTTGCAAAACTCTTACAGGTGTGTGATAATGAAATGATGTGGCAATTTTCACACTCAGTTTCTTTCTCTGGATGATGGTGCTCCTCGCCTAATCTGGCCAAGCTTATAACAGCTACTTGGATCCAGTCTGACTTTGTTGGTGTGTTGTGGAATAGAAGCATTGACACTTGCCTTGGTGAGAATGTTAAAATATATGTAATGGTCTTTGAGACACAGATCAGTCTGAGATGCGTCTGCTCCAACAGGAACATCTACCAGTGCTTTGGGATTCTTCTCTGTGGATGGGCTGACTAACATTTGTCATCTCATCCTGGAACTTTGAAACAGTGGCCCAGACAGGTTCCTGATGGTTCTGACACAGAATCTGACCCGACCTTCCTGATTATTCATTCAGATATAGACAGTACCTTTCCATTACAGGACATTATTCTAATTGTGTGACAATAGGGGAGAGCTTGAGTGTAGATGGATTTCTAAATCCAGAGCTTTGGCTTTCAACAGACCAGAACACTGCCCTCATTAGTGCAGATGACGCCCTGGTCCTTTGGTCCATTTCACTTCATGCTACCAGCTCGGTGGACCAGGGGCCACAAAGAAGGGCCCTGTGGGCCGGCCGCCTATTGGGTACCACTGCGGTATATGATGTAACTACATGAGTTGAAGATGAAGAGCTCCAGTAAATGCCAGCAATGGGGACACAGTTCTTGCTTTGGGTTTAAGGGGGCCTGACATTCCTATTCTCCTTTGTTCATCGACTTTATTTGAGAAATTATTGTTATGGAATTGTTGATATTTTCCAACTGTTCATCTGAATGCTGATGATGGGGAAAGAGAAAACTATCCAGTCCCACCATCCAACCATCCATCCATCCATCCATCCATCCATCCATCCATCCATCCATCCACTGAACCGTTTCATCGTCACCAGGGTTGCAAGGAGCTGGTGCCTCTAGGAGAATCCAGAGGAACTACTCTGTAATTATGGTGATATACGGTAACTAACATGAAACTAAAAAGCTGATGTCTTGTTTATACCACTCAACTCCACTGAAGGTGACCTTAGACAGAAAGTCTAAGGACATACAGAAGAAAGAGTTTCTCACTGGTTGCCCGACACATTGATCACCAGGATTCATTTTGTTCTGCTGTGTTTCCCTGTTTGTACTGTGATGACAGGTTTCTGTGTTTCAGTACTCCTGACATGGGTGAACTGCTCCAGTGTCCGAATGGCCACAAGGATCCAGGATGTGTTCACAGTGGGGAAGCTTTTGGCTTTGGGACTCATCATTGTAGTTGGTCTGGTCCAGATCTTCAACGGTAAAAATGATCATATATACCCTGTTACTGCTCCCATGTATTGTAAAAACATTAAATGAAGTCCCTCTTATCCCAATAGGGAACTTTGAGGCTTTGACTCCTCATGTGGCCTTTTCCCAGAACAGGACACCGTCAGTTGGACAGATTGCTTTGGCTTTCCTGCAGGCATCCTTTGCCTTCAGTGGCTGGAACTTCCTTAACTACGTCACAGAGGAGGTGGTTGAACCTAGACGGTGAATACTTTCTGCATCTTGCTTCAGCTTCAGCTTCTGTTTTGTCTGGCTGTAAGGGACTCTTTTAAAAACTATTTGAGGATGTTGACCCCAACTTTAAATTTAGCTTCACCGCTGGGACCAACTCTGACAGGCTGTGAAGATGTCCCCAGATAGTTACAAAGCACCTGATGGTTGAGTCATACCCAGGCTTTCCATTGGATGTGTATGCTGCATGCAATGTAGACATGTTTTCTTTGCAACCTCAGTGGCGCATCCCTTCCTACCAAGAGTGTTTGAGGCTCACAACAGCTGCCAATTCATATTGCAGTTAGCAGAGTTTATGCAATTCTTACACATATGGTGGAGAGCCATAGTTAGCTTCTGGAATTTGGTCTGGCTCAACCAAAAAGTCTAAATAAACTTACCTCTTTTCTGATGTCACTACCTGTGGATAGATAAGTCCCAATCAGGTGCAATGGCAGACATGGGTGGGGGTTGGGCCATGCCAGTCCACTGGTTTTAGGTTAGTAACGTGCTACCTTACTGTTAGGAAAGGAGCTGACGCTTGTGTCCAAGGCTAACCAATAATAACTCACATTAGAGTCGTTTCCACTATCGGAACTTCAGAGACATTTTTTGGAACTCCGTGGCATGCATGTGTCTCCACTCCAGGTTATTTTCCCCATCACCGTTCCACCTCCAAGAAATTTTCCAGAGCTCCTTTACTGGAAACACGACTCTTGATGTAAACCTTGAGCTATGGAACCCAAGGGCCTCGTTGACAAAGACTTGCATCAATTTCCTACTAAAAATGTTGTCCTGTAAAGTCACAAAAACGTTAGGTTATGCATGTAACCACTGTTCCCTGAAGGAGAGGAACGACGTACAACGAGGTACTATGGGATATCATGCCCTCGTGGGGCCTGGCTGAAGACACATTTAATCACGCCTGTAAGGCAAATGAAAGTGACGCTGCGTGGAGGCCCCACCCTCCACTTATGAGCGACCGCATCACTGTCATTCCTCAGTTCGATAGCCGCTCTTCACCGAGCTGGGCTGTGAATGGGGCAGCCCTGCATTGTACCTCGTTCCTCTCCTTCAGGGAACAGTGGTTATATGAATAACCTAACGTTCGCTTTCAGTCAATTCACTCAGTACAACGAAGGTAACGCCCCATGAGCAGCTATCAAACCTGGCCTGGGATCGCAACCTAAGACGGCAAGTCAGATCCAGCAGAGAGAACCGCATAGGCCACCGAAGGGGCCAAAACATCCAAGCGGTAAAACCTCACAAAGGTGTGGGGTGTAGCCCAGCTTGCAGCTGAGCAAATGTCATCAACTGAAACACGTTTAAACAGTGCCCAAGAAGCAACCACACCTCTAGTAGAGTGTGCCCTGACCCCTAGGGGCAGCTGGGAGCCAGTGTAACACAGGGAAATGGCCTCCACAATCCAATGAGAAAGTCTTTGCTTCGACAAAGCTTTACCCATGGAGGGTTTGGCAAAACACACATTCATTTTGGTCTGTTTTCTGATACTCCGAGTGCGACTTATATAAGCCTGCAGAGCACAAACCGGGCACAGACAATGCAGTCCCCTCTGCTACTCAGAGGCAAAAGGAAGACTACTGAAGCCCGAAAGCTCTATGGTCATGGAACCGTAGTTGAGCGGGATGACCTTAGGCAAATACGCAGCATTCGGATGCAGAGTGACCTTAGTTCCATCTGATGACATTTTCAGACAGGAAGGGTGAACTGAAAGAGCATGAAGGTCTCCCACCCTTTTAGCCGATACAAGGGCTAAGAGCAGAGCTGTCTTATGAGACAGAAGCTTCATACTGATCGATTTAATAGGCTCAAATGAGGGACCACACAGGGCCTCCAGCACCAAAGCGAGGTCCCAAGAAGGGAGAGACGATCTAATAATGGGTCTCAGTCTGCGAACCCCTTTCATGAACCCAACAGCTAAAGGGTGAGCGCCAGGAGAAACTCCATTCAAAGATTCATGGCAAGCCAAAATGGCTGCCAGGTAGACCTTTAAAGTGGAGAATGACAAGCCCTTGTCCAGCAGATCCTGTAGAAATGACAGAATGTCCACAATGGGGCTCTGTGAGGAAACTACTAACTTGCTTAGACACCACACTTCAAAAGCCTTCCACTTATAGGCATATAAACTCCTAGTGAAGCATGCTCTTGAGCTCTGAATAGTATTCACCACAGCCGGGGGAAGACCTTTAGCTAATGGGTTGGACCTTTCAGTAGGCAGGCCTGTGGCTTCCACAGATGTGGGCGAGGGTGCAGCACTTCCCCTTGTGCCTGTGACAGAAGGTCCTGTCTGATGGGGAGCTTCTATGGGGGGGCTATCATCAGACTGATGATCTCTGGGTACCAAGACTTTGTGGACCACTGAGGGGCCACCAAAATCAGAGATGTGCTCGACTTGCGCACTCTCTCCAGTAGTCAGTTCCACCGGCGGAAAAGCGTAGAGAACATTGGGCCAAGGGTGCGACAGAGCATCCGATCCCATTGGAGCAGTCTGATCCGCCAGGGAAAAGAACTGGGGACAGTGTGTGTTTGCGCTTGATGCAAACAGATCCACTACTGCCCTGTCGAACCCCAGCCAAATCTGGGACACCACCTCGGGGTGGAGCCTCCATTCCTTTGACAGAGGCCCGCCCCTGGAGTGCAAGTCGTGGTTGAGGTACTCGGGGACATAAGCTGCTCTAAGAGACAGGCAATTCAGATTGCACCAATGTGTGGGTCAGATTCAGTAGAGGAAGAGAGCGTGTTCCTCTCTGTCTGTTTACATATGACACTACAGTTGTGTTGTCTGTGCGTACCAGCACATGTTGTCCTCTCAGGTGATGACTGAAGTTTTTCAGGGCCAGGCTATTCGCTGGTCCAAGAGACGCGCTCTGCTTGACCGAGAGCAAATTTCCAGCCCGAGGAAGGAGAAACTCTTCCTGTAGTTCAGGGAAACACCCCAGGGCTTGAACTTGGGAAATTACCCATGCAGTGTGAGCTTCTGCCTGTGTTCGGGAACTTGCTACTAGAGTCCAGTCGTCTAGGTAAGCAAGGATCCAGATGCCCTCCTCCCTGAGGGGGCTAGTTCAATTCAATTCAATTCAAAAATACTTTATTAATCCCAGAGGGAAATTGATTTTGCGGCTTCCACACATTTCGAAAAGGTGCGGGGCGCTAGAGCTAACCATCGACATAAATATACTGGACATCTCCTTTCCATAGGCTCCATCACGTTTTTGAGGCCAAATGGGAGGTGGCCATCACCGCCATTTTGACCGTGTCAAAGGTTCCGTCAAGCCCAGACAATTCCACAAAAGGGAAGAGAGGAGGAGCTGAGGGTGGGGCTGTAAGGCTGGGATCAACTGACGACACCCAGTCGAACTAGCTACAAGCTAACCTGAAGCTAACCCTGGCTAACCCAAAGCTAACGCGGAGGTGGGAGCTAAGCTAACGGAGGTAGCAACCTAGCTACAACCGGAGTTAACTGTGCACAACACCAGAGCTTCTGAGTCAGAGATATGCCGGGCTGACCGCTGGGTAAAACCGGGTGGAACACAGAGGTCTCAGAGACCTCCACAAGCTGGCAGCCCCACAGCAGACAAGCACCGCTGCGATCTGAGATGCGCAGAGCTGCTGCTGGGGAGAACCGGGTGGAAAGGTTTCCATCCCAGAGCTCCACAAGCCGGCAGCCCGCGCATCAAACAGAAGCTGCGATCAGACAGAGATGCGCCGAGCTGCGCGGAGACCCAGCCGGCATTCCGCACAGCAAACAGAAGCCGCAAAGCCAGGGGAGAACGGGTGGAAAACTTCAGTCTCCCGAGAGCTCCACAAGCCGATAGTCGGAACCCAGCTCCACCAACATGTTATATTTCAACCCATTTTCTAAAGTGCAGCATTATGTTAAATGCACTGGGTTTTACCCTATTACATTTAAATTTCATGGTTAAACAGTACATGTTAAAATCTAAGCTCAGCTCGGCAGTGACCTAAAATACATAAATATAATTTTACTTACCGAAAAAAATGAAGTGGAGACTCCTTGGACGCTCTATTAGTGCAATTAATGCCACAGCAAGTCATTTTGTCCAACAATTGCACAAAAAATATCCAAAAAAGAATACACACACACAGAGACTCAAAATCCCGGAGCAGTTTCCAAGCCAGACCGAGGCTCTACTGAGGCCTTTCCACGGAGCTAGCTCTGTGGTCACGTGGGTCTGATGCTCATTAATTAGACAGAATTTTAGGCTTTTAATGCACTTAAACAGAAGAGTGAGAGAAAAAAATTCGCCCCCCTCAGAGTTGTCATGAGTGTAAACTAGATCATTTAAACCAAAAACATATTTTGGTACCAGGCTGTAAACATGTTTATTTCTGCTGTGAAATTGGTATTTTTAACATGGGAGTCAATGAGGATTTGCTCGCTTCTGACACCAGCCCCCAGCGGATGAGGGTGGAACTGCAATTTTTGGTACTTCCAGGATTGCTTCAATTTTTGAGCCGCATTGTGGGGGCTTGGAGCTAACCCAAAAGACAGAATCATGTACTCGTAGGCCTTCCCTTCGAAAGCAAAGCACAGGAACCGCCTGTAATCGGGGTGGATTCCCACATGGAAATAAGCATCTGTGAGATTGATCGTAGTAAACCAATCTCCGGGACTGACTGTATCAGTAGCTGTTTGAGTGTTAGCATTATGAACCTGTATGTGTGCAGATACTTGTTTAACACACGCAGATCCAAAATAGGGCGAAGCCCGCCCCCCTTTTTCGGGACAACAAAGTAGCGGCTGTACCACCCTTTGTTTGTGCCCTTGACAGGGACCGCTCGAATAGCTCCTTTCAACTGTAGAGTCTGAATTTCCTCCCGTAACACGACTGCAGCGTCGGTATTTACACATGTCTGCACAACAGAGGTAAATATGGGTGGTTTGACCAGGAACTGCAGTCGGTTACCCACGGCAACCGTGCGCTCGACCCAGGGGGACACTGCATGCTCGCCAGAGGTGAAGTTTTGCCGCGAGGCAACCGCTCAGCGCCCTGGTGGGGGAGCTGCAGCCCTCTAGCGGAACGGGAGGCTTTCCGAACATCTTGTCTGCCACCGGAGGAAAGCTGCTGTTCTCCAGCAGAGTGGGAGAACACAGCTTTTCCCGCTCCCACAGAGGTTGATTGCAGACAGGATTTGATGTGAAAATTGAGCTGTTGTTCACCAGTGGAGTGGGTTGATGCAGCTTCATGGGGCCAATTTGAGAAGCATTGCTGACACACTTTGTCAAGTGCAAACAGCAGTCTTTATTACATTTGTGTTTTTGTGAACAGTACAACTCTCGCCCCCTGGGGGCGGTAAACAAAGCCTCTTTGGACTGTGGGGTTGAACCGTAGCTGAACCGGTCCTTTTCAATCATGGAAAACTGGGTTTTTGTAGCCCAACATGGTCCAAAACCCGAACAAGGTGGGTCCCGGGATCAGGACGACTGAGGTTTCTTCTTGCGGCTCATAGAGTGTTTCTGTGAGTCCCCAGGAGGGCCTTTACTCCAAGCGGAGTGGCGAGGAGGGAAAGACGGGGTCCGAGCTGGGACCGAGCCCTTTGCTGCCGCTGGAGGGGCTGTCCTCTGAGGTGGAGGAGAGGTCAGGTTCTTCCTGTCAGACCCAGGTGCCGTGCGCCACCCTTCCCGCCCGGGGATGATGGAGCGTAGTGCCTCAGTCTGTTTCCGCTGGGCCTCGAACTTCGTCTGAATAGCGTTGAAGGACTGACCAAACAGACCACTGGGTGAAACAGGCTTGTCCAGGTAGTTAGCCCTGTCCCTGTCGGGGACATTAGAAAGGGTCAGCCACAAGTGCCTCTGAGCCACTACAGTTGAGGCCATTCCTCTTCCCAGCAGTAGGGCGACGCCTCGGGCCGCTCACAGGATGTAGTCCGACGTGACCCGTATCTTATTGATGGGGGGGGGGGTCAGTGGGCTGTCAGGTGGGACCCTTGCTTCAAGGTCCGCCAGGCAAAGTGCTTGGTAGGTCTGGAGCATGGTGGAAGAGCGAGTATGCAGGCAGTGGAGGCCTGTGCATGGTAAATCTTCTCCAGTTGTGCAGCTGAGAAGCGGCATGGCTTGGAAGGTAGATTAGTTTGTCCACTAACTCTGTAATTGCAAGTCGGAGCCAGGTAAGCCGCGAGAGAGGGCTCCATCGGAGGGAGGTTAACCAATCCCGCCATTTCTGCGCCGTCGAGGTCCGAGAACTGACCATAACCCGGGACCGTGGTGCGGGTGGATAGCGGCTTGGTCCAGGATGCATGGGGTCCTGCTGCAAAACTGCAGCATCTCCCAGGAGACGTTGTAGGAGCTTCACGCGCTGTTCGAGCGTGGGACGGCGGAGTCGCCGACAGAACTCGCACGTCTCCGGGTCCACAAGCCGAACAAGGTGGGTCCCTTGGTGGGTCTCCTGGCATGGAGAATTCCAAGACAAACCGGGCACGCTTCGTGCAAGTGCTTCTCGTGAAGAGAGAATCTACAGCCCTGAGGACAGGGGCGCAAAGCGGCTTTCCATGAGGCGACGTCCGACACGGTGCTCATTGCGAGACACACAGCAGAACGAAGTGGACAAACTGAAGAGCCATGAAAGATAGCGCTCGGTGGGCGGGAATGCTAGCCAGAAAGCAGTAGATTCCAGTCAGCGAGCGGTTAAGCTATCTTTCAATGGCGCAGCTGGTTGTCGGTGTGTTCTCAGTGAGGTGAAGAGCGTAACTGAGGAATGACCGTGACGCGGTCGCTTATAAGTGGAGGGCGGGGCCTCCATGCAGTATCACTTTCATTTGCCTTACAGGCGTGATTAAATGTGTCTTCAGCCAGGCCCCACGAGGGCGTGATGTCCCACAGTACCTTCGTTGTACTGAGTGAATTGACTGAAAGGAAACCTCATATGCACAAACTATCCAGGTGTATTAAACTGTGCATATCCATGAATCTATCCACATTTCCTTTGTTTCATTCAACAAGGAATTGAGCAGTCATGAGTGAATACCAGACAACTTGGCATGCCTTCAATGTGCAGATAGATGCAAATATGTTATGTACACGTGATATGACTCTGAGTATGATCAAAAATCACATTGAGAGGTGCTGGACTCCTACAATACAACACATAACAGGGGTGATGCCCAGGAAGGCATTGTATGGATGGATGGATGGATGGATGAATGTTTAGATGGATGCATGGATGGATGAATAGATGGATGAATGGATGGATGGATGGATGGATGGATGGACATTAGAGAAGGTTAGCTAGCCTTTATAATACCAACAAAATTTCTCATGTTATTTAACACAAAAAAATGTCATGTCAACATTTTCTTTTTCATGTTTGGAGCTTTTATTTGCACCCTCACTGACTTGTTTTCTTTCCAGGAGTACCGTGTTTAATGCATGTGGTGTGGTTATTTGCGGTACTGATTTTATCATCTGTTTACGTTGTGTGGACCTGATCAGGAACCTTCCTCGAGCCATCTACATCTCCATTCCACTGGTGACCTTTGTGTACACACTCACCAACATCGCTTACTTCTCCTCCATGTTGCCCGAGGAGCTGCTGTCGTCCAATGCTGTGGCTGTAGTGAGTAATGACATTATACTGAAGGTCTCTGGGAGGCCTAGATGGTCAAAGTATGGCTGAAATGGGAACAGCCAACAGAAACCCACATAACATGCTGGGAATAATCCTGTTTCTTGGAATTCCAACAGCTGAATTTCAGTCATTTTCAGTTTTTGATTCAGCTGGATGCAGTTTGTAGTTTATGGTTTGAGGGAAAACATCCAGTTATTTGAGTGTTTAATCCAGAATAATTAGTCAAACTGAGAGATTTCCAAACTCTTGTTGTGGGTAAATTGACTAAACTATTGACAACTAACTGGAGATTTTTGTGAATTTAGAGCACCTACCAAACAACATTTCATATAGCTGAACAGCATTCCGACAGGAGTCTCCTAAAATTTCCAAAATCATAAAACAGTTTTTTTATATTATCACTAACCTTAACTTCACACTGGAAGCATCAGCAGCGCGGAACATCACTGCTTCAAGTAGAATCAGTTGTAGTCTATGGGGGTGATTCACACCAGCTGCAATGCGGTAATTTTCAGGCGCGTCCCAGAAACGGTTCATTGATGAGATAAGATTGGGTTTCATTTTTGCCGCAAGACGCTTTTGGGACACGACAATTTCCTCAGTTAAACATAGGGCTAGACAGGAAGTCCCACACGGTTTCAGTGAAGCCTCCGGTAGTTTTCTAAATAAAGACTATTGCAGCAATGCGATTTCATGTCTATGTAGGTTACATAAATACAAGTGACCTAACTCCTTATTTACTCCCAGCATTGTTTGGTGTGTTTTTCATGGCTTTAATCCTGGCAGTGGAGAGGAACAACATCATGTTTGATATCAAACATGATTTCCTTCTTTTTGGTTTAATTGCGGGTGGCATAAACAAAGCGTGACATTTGAAGTTTCAAGGGACTTTGTGATCTCGCGAGTTTAACGAGGAGCATGGCAGAGAAGCCGCTCCGCAGCTGAGATTCCCCCGGTGTGTACTGGTACGCAGTGAAAATCATGAGTAAACTGTTCCGCGACACTGATGCTTCCAGTGTGAAGTAGAGGAGGGCCTCCGTGGCTGCATGTTTTCCATATGTTCCTGCTCAGCCACACCTGATTTTTACTGCTAAATTACCTCCTCAGCCTCTATCAAGTTTTGTAGGAGCTGCTAATTGCTTATTGTAATCAAATCTGCAGTGTTCAAGCAGGGAAACATCTAAAACCAGCAGGAAAATGGCACTTACGATGGCTGTCATCCCCTGCTAATGCCACAATGGGCTAAAACAGTATGTAGAGTAAGATTAAACCCTAATCATTTAGTTCCGTTACACAAAATATTAACACCTTCTCATTCCCCTTCTCTTCCATTGTTAGCTTGAAGTTTACAGATTGACATGAATTGAATCCAAGTGAAGTTAGCATTCAAGCTAGGCTGGCGTCTGTCACCTCGCAGTGTACTCTGGGGACTGGGGTGCATTCTCGTGACTGACAGCTCCCTCTTTTTACACACAGCTACACAGGTCAAGACTCGCTTAAATGTAGAGGCCAGGGGTCTCAATTATCAAACATTGCGTAGAATCCTTACTAAAACCGTACTTAAGCTCAGCAAAAAAAATGTACTTACGCCAAGCAGGTTTGTGATCTATCAAACATGGAGTACGCACAGCTGCACGCAATCTCAGCTTCATAAATCAGAAACTGTCTAGAAAGGTTCTCAGCTGCTTCTTAGTCACATCCTGCCCTCACCACGCCCACTTACTGCCATAAATAGTCAATGCAAAGTGCCTTGTGGATCTCATGCATATACATAAGCCAGCTGTTGCAGCTGTAATGGATGTTAAAGAGAATTTCATGTTAATTAATGACCAGAGATATTAATGATCCATATCTAGTATAGACCCCATCTCTGGACACTGGGCTTTTTAAATCAGAAGAGTGGTTATTTTTATTACAGGGAAATTTAATACACTTTGCATGAACTGAGAGACAAGAGAAGAGAGAGAGACCTCAGAACGTTTAAGCAAAATTTATTATCTAAATGATTTTAAACAGTTTAACAGGACTAACTCTCTAGTGATGGATGCTGATGGAATGAATGTGAGGTGGAGTGTGTGTTGGTGCGATGTCAGTTCAGAACCTCCATTCTGGAGAAGCGAGTCTGAGTGGGAGATGATGTTTTGCTCCTAACTGATCAACGTTTGAACCGTGGTCAGAAAACAACATGAGACTATCTGTGCTGTTCTACATTACCCGTCAGTGAGACCTCCGTCTTAGATCAGGCTGCCAGGTTCACGACCTTCCGCTGGTACTGGAGCCGATGAAACAGCGTCCTCAGCACGACAATCCAGTCTTTGGATAGTCTCCAGGTAAAAAGTGGCAGGTGTCTCACAGCGTCAAAGGGACCCCCCCTTTGGGTCAGCAAGTTCAGCTTTTATTCTGAAGGAACCATTGTTTTGTTGATTATGTAACCGGATTACAGGATACAATAAGATAATTAAAAGAAAAAATAAACAAATGGGCCAATAATTAGGTTCGGGGAGAATTGGAGGTTGTTTAAGAATGACTGGAGTCACGGGTATAGCATGAAACGGTTTATATACTAAATTTTAATAATAATGGGAAATATAACGCATAAAGATAACACACAAAAACAGATGAAAACAATCGACAATAGTAAAATGGTCGGTATGAGATTTGATCATATGAGTCACAAGTCAGCCGGCGTCAAGTCAAATCCCCACGCTTGGGGTGAAAGTCAGAGTCCGGTGGTGCGATTTTTTCCTACCACACCGTTGAGATTGTTCACAGAAGAGAGCAGTCTGCTCTTCAGTTACTTGAGATGTCCTGGTTCGTTCAGTGGTTAAGGCTCGCCATCTCCCTCGTCAGGAAGAAATCCAGTTCTCGTTCCAAGTGAGTGATCATAGGAGTCGGGATCAAACCCAAGGAAAAAAAAAACCCAGCCTGTAAACAACAGGACTGTTAGCGAGTTGGCATCGACCCTTCTCGTCACATCACAGCATAAAGTCTTACAGACTTAAACAAATGCTTCACTCTATTGGCATAGCCAATCATGTTTGGGTTCACAGTTCAACTAACATAACATCAATTTGATTGTCTATTAAAATAATTCTCAGTAGCTCTGGAAATATAATTACATATGACAACAATTGTTCAGCTCAATAGGCTCAGTTAGATTCTATTACTCTACACTATTCAACAAGAAATACATTCATGACAACAAGGATACATTTAGTTGTGTTTCTATACAGCATTGTGACACCTTGTATATCTGTAACACAATAAATAAATAAATAAATAAATAAATAAATAAATAAATAAATAAAATGTTCTATAACAAAATTCAACAAAATATAAATTCTGGTCCTTTGGTCCACCTTTGTAAAATAATTCCTCCCTAATCAGTTAGCTTTTATTTATTTTTATTTATCTATTTTTTTTATTATTAAATGTTTGGTTAAGGGACGCATTGCTAATTCTATGGCGTTAGCTATAACGCCCCTGAGGACCTTGTACATCTAGGCCGTACCACCATTAACTGGCGGTTTGAGCCGTTAACTCCTGGGAATCCCATATGCCCTACCGCCGTTAACTGGCGGTTTGAGCCGTTAACTCCTATATGCCCTACCACCGTTAACTGGTAGTTTGAGATGTTAACTCCTGGGATCTAACGTCTAGCAGCCCACTGCTGTCACCTCGGTTGCTGTAATTAGCTTTTTGAATTTAATAATTTACTGAATTTAATCTCATTCACTCACCAACGCGCTCCAACGGTTCCCTCCTACAGAGGATTGGTTCACTCTGTCGTCTCCACACAAATCTATAAGAATGGAATTAATTTGATAAGCTATTTAAGTTTCCTTTTTTTTTTTAAGTTGCATCGTTAGCTTTTTCTCTTCTTTTTTCTTTACTCACCGCGTTGGTTCCAAGTTCCTAGCTCTTATTAGAAGGAGTCAAGTCCGCCTCTCCCTCTATCTATGCGGCACCCAAATCAGGGTTCTTCACGGCCTCGACCGTTGTTTTTTTTTCTCTCTCTCTCTCTCTCTAACCGCTCAGTCTTTGCTTTCTGTATCTGCGTGCTGCACAGCCGTTTGTCTCTCCTCTCGCTCAGCTGCGTCGCACGGTTTTATTTCGCGGAGGCGGGACTTATTTCTCTCAGCCAATGAAATTTCAGATTCCCACCTGGACCAATAGTATACAGCTTTCCTCTTCTGTTTCTGTTAGTGATGTTCAAGATTCTTGTTTTAACCGATGTTTAATATTAAACTCGTTATTTTAGTTATTCACCCTTCCAATAATTCATTATGAAATTATCTATTAGTTAATTAGATATCTATTAATTAGTATTGTTAATTTCCTTAATTTATATTTTATATTTTATCTAAATTGAGGATGGATCATATTAGTAAGCCAATTAGTTAATACCTCATTAAGGTTCTAGCTTCTGGGTTACATCCTCCCCCATTAAATATCATGCACGTCCCTGTGCATTGTTTCTACGGGGTACACAACTTCTTGAGTAAGAGAGTCAATAAAAGCTTTATTAAGTCCTTGGAAAAGGGACCTAACTACGGTCACTAGTGGATTGCCCAATTGAGAGTAAGTTAGTCTTTGAGGAGGCTGACTACTTCGTTCAGATCTCCTGACATACATCTCTGGTTGCACAGTATCATGCTCATCCGTTTCGGTTTGATTCTCAACTGAGACAGGACGAAGTGAGCTCTCTGTTTCCGACAGAGCTGATGAGCTATTCTCTAAGACTTTGGTCTTTTCAGATGTATGTGTCTGATCGTGTATGATGGGTTCAAAACTTACATCACGTTGCTGCGACTTTAGGACACCATCCAATTGAGGTAGGTTTGTGTTAGTTTCATCCCCCGTTTCTACGTCAGGTAAGTATACTTCGTTTTTTTTCGTTTTTTCAGGTAAGTATGTTGCTGCTTCTTTCACTCTTTCAGGTAAGAATGTTTCGGTGTTGATGCCTTTGTCAAGTAAGGACAATTCAG